AAAAAAAAAAAAAAAAAAAGAAGGATGAGATTGCAAGAAATCTCTGAATGCCAGATACAGATGAGTCATAGTTAATGTCTTGATCATCAACAAGCAGCCTTACAAGGGTTCTTGAATAAGAATGCCAAAAGCAGTTTGTAGAGAACAATAGTCCCGCAGCAGCATACAAGAGTAAAGAAAAATGGGAGGAAAAAAGTGATAATCTGCTTTAGGGTGGCAGTTCAATAAAGCAGAGGGGAAAAAAAAAATCAAGGAGATCCAGGGACATTGCAAAAGAAGAATAACTAATTCCATTTAAATCTGAACTCAAGTCTAACATCAATATCTTCAAATGGTCTATAATCAAAACTCATTTGCTCTTCAAAGATTTGTGAATGATGATAGAGAACGAGCTATTTAGTAACTCTATGAGTAAATAAGACCCTACTCCTCCATTAAAGAAGATAATACAGCTATCAAGTGAGAATAATGGGCTAGTTTCTTAAAGAAAACCTGACCCAAGAATCCTATTTCTATATTTTTTCAAACTTTTCCATGTTTAAATTTATTATAGTAAAAGCACTTGTTACGTTTTTACTTTTTTGCTCATTATATATACTTCTCTTTGCTGATAATATGAACATCAATGTTACATTGTTTTCTATTTTGTTCATATATCACATAAATCCATGTAACCCAAAGAAGAATTTAGAATTATATATCATAGCAAAATTCACCAGATATTTAAATATTTTTTTATTTCAGAGTATTATGGGGGTACAAATACTTTGGTTACATAAATTGGCTTTGCACTGTCTGAGTCTGAGCTACAAGTGTGCCCATCCCCCAGACAACATACACCACATCTGTTAGGGGTGAATTTACCCATCCCCTCCTGCTGCCCCCTCCCATTTGCCTGACACCCTATGAATGTTACTTCCCATATGTGCACATTAGTGTTGATAAAGCAGACACAAACATACACTGGGGAAAAGAATCCCTATTCAATAAACAGTGCTGGGAAAATTGGATAGCCACATGTAGAAGCCTAAAACAGATCCACACTTCTCACTCCTCAACAAAAATCCACTCACGATGGATAACAGACTTAAATTTAAGGCACAAAACCATAAGATTCTAGAAGAAAATGTTGGAAAAACTCTTACAGACATCAGCCTAGGCAAAGAATACATGAAGAAGACCCCAAAAGCAATCACAGCAGCAACAAAAATAAATAAATGGGACCTGATCAAATTAAAAAGCTTCTGCACAGCCAAAGAAATTGTCACAAGAGCAAACAGACAACCTACAGAATGGGAGAAAATTTTTGCATGCTACAAATCTGATAAAGGGCTGATAGCTAGAATCTACTTAGAACTCAGGAAAATCAACAAGAAAAAAATCAAACAACCCTATCAAAAAGTGGAAGGACATGAACAGAAACTTTTCCAAAGAAGACAGAATAATGGCCCAAAAACATATGAAAAAAATGCATAACATCTCTAATCATCAAACCAAAACCACAATGAGATATCACTTAACGCTAGTAAGAACAGCTTTTATCAAAAAGTCCTAAAACAACATATGTTGGCATGGATGCGGAGAGATAGAAACATTCATACATTGCTGGTGGGACTGCAAACTAGTACAATCTCTATAGAAAGTAGCATGAAGATACCTCAAAGAACTAAAAGTAGAACTACCATTTGATCCAGCAATCCCACTTCTGGATATCTACCCACAGGAAAAACAGACATTCTATAAAAAAGACATCTACACTCAAATGTTTATAGCAGCACCATTCACAATTGCAAAGATGTGGAAACAACCCAAGTGCCCATCAATACATGAGTATTGTGGTATATGTATACCATGGAGTACTACTTATCCATAAAAAAAAAATGGTGAACAACCTACTGTATTATCCTGGATGGAGTTGGAGCCCATTCTTCTAAGTGAAGTATCACAAGAATGGAAAAACAAACACCACATGTACTCACCATTAAATTGGTATTAGTTCATTGATATTTTGAAATAGATTTCTGAGCCAATCTTTTCAGCCCAAAGGATAGTCAAGGTTATTGTTCTAAGCAACCTCATTTATGTGTTAGAAAAAACTTTACCAAGTTTTCATCTTATACATGATGACATAGAAATATTTTAATTATTATATGCTTCCCTTCATACCCAGCAGGTTGTATGAGAAACAATTTTTGAAACTATGTAAATGTTTAAAATAAAATGTAAAAGGATGAAAACTGTAAAAGGATAAAAGGATGAAAAAAATGAAATTTTATATAAATAGGATGCAAATACAAATAAGTGTTCCTAAGTATATATCAAATTGAAAACACAACCATAAAAAATAGAATTAATTCAAGTAAATTTGGACTCAGTTCTCTGATGTGTGATGTTTTCTAAAGACAAAATGAATTGCAAAGAAATCCTTAATTTACTTAGTACACTTGTTGTTAACAGTAGAAATGGTTTAATAATTCTGAAAATACTTTGTTAACATGCTAGGATAAAACAAATGAATAATCACACTGATGTTGTTGGGAACCAGAATTCTCAATATGGGAGAAGGACAGTACAAAAATGAAATGAAGAAGATAAGGAAGAATCCTTTAGTATTGAACTTGTAGATATCAAAAGGAACTTTTGATTAAAACACACACACACACGTGCGTGTGTGTGTCTGTGTGTGTGTTTTAGCTGTATATACTAAAAGGAAGTAGTTGACTTCCTAATAGCAACAAGCACTCCTAACTCACAGATCTTGGTTTCTAAATACCATTCCCTACTAAAAGGAACCAGGAATCATTGGGAAAATAGCTGATTACAGGTCTGCAGTACAGAAAGGTTAAGATAGGTCTAGAACATTTTGTTGTGCAGAAAGCAAGAAATTTCTCAAATTATAATAGGGATATATCAAAAGAACACAGAATCTAGTTCAAAGTGCCTCCCTCCCACTAGTAAAATTTATGACTTTGAGCATCAGAAAGAACAATGATGGTAACTGGTTTTAAAAGATTTATTTAAAAAGTGAGCTGATCCATAGCATTACTCAAAAATTAAAAGGGACAAAGTACAGACAGCTCTTCTTCACAAAAGAGTATTAGCTAATAAATGTAGTAGGAATAATTCAATTAGAAAATCATCATGTACAACCATTGTAATAACTGATCCAAGAAGAATCACCAGTGCAGGCTAAAACTACTGGGTGAAAATCTTTTGGGGAACAGGATATTCATTCCAACAACATCAACGAACAACACCAATTATTTTTTCACTACAAAAGGGGTGAGGGACCTTTACAAGGAAGAGATCTAACAGACATTGGCTTAGCAAAATAATAGCATTTTGCCTCACCAATGATAGAACAAATGGACAGTGTGTACAGTCTAATGTGATACAATGGGATCTACACAGAATCACTGACATAATCATGAAAAAACTACTAGGAAAATTCAGATTGTAGAACATGTCTTCAAAAATATCAATGTCATGAAAAAAAAGTTGGAGGAATTATTCTAGATTAAAGAATAACATGGCAACCAAATGCAATAAATGATCCTTGATTGGATCTTAGTTCATTTAAAATAAAATCCATTTTCCCCAAAAAGGATATTTTGGAACAATTATAGTAATTTTAAAATGGACTGTGTAATATCGTATGTTCTTACTTATATGTGGGACCTAAAAAAATTGATCTCATGGAGGTAGAGAGTACAATGGTGGTTATCAGAGGCCAGGAAGGGCATGGTGGGGTGGAAAAAGGGAGGTTGATTAATCAGTACAAACATACAGTTAGATAGAAGAAATAAGTTTTAGTGTTTAATAGCATAGTAGAGTTACTATAGTTAACAATAATTTATTATATATTTTAAAATAGCTAGAAGAGAAGATTTGAAATGTTCCCAACACAAAGAAATGATAAATGTTTGAGGTGATGGATATTCTAATTACCCTGGTTTCATTATTATACATTATAATTATGTATTGAAATATCACATGTATCCCATAAATACATACAATTATTATGTATTAATAAAACATTTAAAACTATAAAACATCTAGAAGAAAATGTAGGAGAAAATCTTCATGATCTGGGGTTAGTCAAGGAGTTCTTAGGCATAAACACCAAAAGCACAATATGTAAAAGTGAATAAATAATAAATTGGATGCTTAAAAATATTGCCTGTATAATCAGCAATATTATTGTATCAAGGTTACATTTCTTGAGAGTGATAATGGTTATGTAAAAGAATGTCCTTGTTATTAGGCAATAAATGCTAAAGTTTTTAGGGATAAAATATCATCATGCCTACAACTTATTTCTCAGTATATGCATGCATGTGTATGTATATGTATATATTATGCATTATTATATGTTTATATACTTTGTAGATTCCTTTGCATTTTCTAGTTGGAAAATCACATCGTGTGGAAGAAACAGTTTTGTTTCTTCTCCAATCCTGGTAACCATCATTGTATTCTCTACCTCCATGAGATCAACAATTTTTGCTCCCACATATGGGTGAGAACATGCAATATTATACAGCCAATTTTCAAACTGCCATGAGTAACTTGGCTTTGTCGAAATTTAACCTCAAATAGAAGAGCTTTTAGACAAAATAATACTCAATCTTATTTTGAAACTCAGGTAGGTGTGTTATTTGTATGCACACTAGTATTACTGTTGGCATCTTTTTAAAAATGTTTTGACCTCTTTACCTCATAATGAGGCAATCGCAACCTGTAACTCAGATCCAATTCATCTATCCTCTGACACTGCTGTCAGAGACATCTGTCTCAATTTTTCAATAGCGTCCAGTATTACGTATAAACCCCTTAGCCCTTCAGTCACTGTGATCTACCTCTCTGGGCTTACCCACTGTCATTTCTCCACATGTGCTCTTTGCTCCAGCCCTAAGACAATTCCAGGAGTTCCTAAGCTGCACTGTAGTTGTTTGCTTCCACCTTGCTAAATGCTATTTTCTCTATCTGAAATTCCTGCCTCTTTTTCTACCTTCTTCATAAAAATAATTTTTACTAGTTTTCTGGTCAACTGTCACCCCTCCCGAGAAGTCATCCCTGACTTTCTCGTCTGATATAGATATTTCTTAGTGCCCATAACCCTCCGAGCCTACCTCTATTACAACATTTACTAACCTCAACTATTATAGCTGGCTTACTTATCTAGAAGCCCAAAAGTAGAAGCTTTCTTATTTGTACCAAGGCTAATATAGTGCCTGGATCTTGGTAGGCATTCAATAAATGTTTGCTGAATTGCCTTCACAAAATATCATTAATTTACCATAACTCAAACAATTAATTAAACTTCTTTTAGAAGTTTGCTAACTGATTAGATATGCAAGGTGTAAAGCAATAATAAAAGGTATCTATTGATATTAATTAGGGAAATAAAAAAACAAAATAATGAAATTTATCTGAAAAACAGTCTATAAGAACACAATTTGCAAATTATTAATAAATTGATTCTATACTAGAACTTGGCTTAAAATTGATTCAGAACAGACATTTGCTTTGATGACCACTACCTTGCAATTTGTCAAGAAGTACAACAGCTATTCGGTGCTGAGCTTGAATTAGTTCAAGATGCAAATCCATCATGAGACTATTTGCTGTGAGTTGTTTGAAAGTGTCTCCAGCTACATCGTGGGTGTGCTTTGTTCCAATAGAATTGAAGTAAAAATAAAAAGAAATACAGTTATCAAAACACACTAAAAATAGCTGCATCCTGTTATCACTCAAGTTATCATCATCTTATTGGTAACCATTAAATTCTGCTCACTTAGCCCTTTTTAATTGGTTACATGCTAATAGATAATTCATCAGTGTCCTCTTCTTTGACAAATTCAAAGATTCCTCATTTTCCTTGATCCCTTCTGGGAAGAGACAAACATATTTCTGGCCTATGAGGGAAAAGCCATCACAAATCATGCTTTACTTACCTACTTTCAAGGCCAGCCCTCTTTCTAGCTAAGTAAAATTTCAATCTAACGTAAGATTTTCCCATTCTTACCTTGATATAGCAGTGGTCAATTACTGATGATCCATTTGGCAAAGTAGTTAACATGCAATTTAAATTCATTCCACCAATTGTTTTGTCAAGAAGTTCATAAGCAAAAAACAATTGTTCCTCAGGTTTTTTCTAAAATAGTTTTATAAACAAAAAAGAAAAAGAAAACTTAAGGGGAAATCATACACAACATTTCCAAACCCTTTTTAACAATAATTCAAAACCAAATAACAGAAATTTAAATAGTCTATCCAACATCAATAATGTTTTTTTCTTACTAAATGTATTTCTCTTTGACTATATGTGGAATACTATCAACAAGAGTGAAAATAATATATCAATTTCACCATTTTTACAAATATAAATTAAACTTTTCACATTTATATAACTTCCAAATGTTTTGCAGAATTCTGATTATGCCAAATGTACAGATAGATAGAGCTCATATAATTTGCCATTTTTACAAACTTAATTTGAAAAGTTAATGTTTTTTAAAAAAATTTTAGAATCTCAGAGCTGGAAATTTATACTTAGAGCCCATCAAACCCAATGGTTTACATCATGATTTTCAAAATCTAAACACTTTTTAATGTAATTATTCTCACAGGGAGACAAATATAGAGAATAACATAAATAGCAACCAGTCTTGTTCAAACTTTAAAATTTCCATATTTTTTCCAGAATTTTTTTTAGGAAGTAAAGCATACACACACATACATATAGTTGAAATCCCCTATATAACTCTCCACAGTGCCATTCCTCTTCTCTGTCCCTAGAGGTAGCAACTGTCCTTGAATTTGCCTTACCAATCTTTTGCATGTTTTTAAACTTTAACTACATGTGTATGTGTTCTTAACCATATGCAATTTTTTTTTTTTTTTTTTTGAGACAAGGTCTCACTCTGTCACCCAGGTTAGAGTGCAGTGGCGTCATCATAGCTCACTGCAACCTCAAACTCCTGAGCTCTAGTGACCCTCCCACCTTAGCCTCCCAAAGTGCTAAGATTACAGGCATAAACCACCACACCTGGCCAACCATGTGCAATATTGCTTTGTGTATTTTTAAATCTCTCTTATAAAATTCTGCAGACTGCTTCTTTCACTCAACCATATGTTGTTGAAACTTAGTGCTGGTGTATGTAACTCAGTGAGGGTTTGGTTATGAGCACAGACCTACTCTAGATATACCAAGCAGAAAGGGATTTAATACACAGAATTAGAGGTGTCCATCACTATTGGAAAGCATAGGAAAACAAAGATCAAGAAAGCTGCCAGTGACAATTTTTCTTCAAACTATTCTCAAGAGTTTGTTCAGAAGCCTCTGTGAATCTAAGAATCTAGAAGGCAACAACCTCAAGCACCTACTACACTGAAGCAAGTGAACAGCAAGAGCCTGCTCGGTGTGGCTGGTAAATACACGTCTTCCATCTGCCACTGCAGAATAAGAACTCTTTCTTCTCTTACGCATTACAAATTTATGCAAATGCCCCTCATTGGCTGACTAACCTAAAACTATATGGAAATATGGAAATGAGATGCTGGAACTACATTTCAGTGGTTGACTTCAACAGGTGACTATTGAAGGGGACTGCAATGATGCCAAGCTGATTCTAGAACACACCTGCTCTAGTTCATTGGTCCTCACAGCTACAATGAAATGGTGTTACTCTGAGGAATATGTCACAATTTGTTTATCCACTCTTCTGCTGATGGACATTTAGATTACTATTACTAAATATGTTGCAATATATTGTGCTTGTCTGTGAATAAACACAAAGTTTATACTTCCTTATGTCTTATTTCTGCTTCCTTTTTTTATTCATCTGTCTAAGACCTCCAGGTTCTTCTAAGTCAAGAGGTCTTAGACAGCTGAACAGATGAACAAAAGAATGACAGATATTTTTATGTAGTTACATCCGTATAAAGGGATTGCTTTTAATCTTTTACCATAGGTATAGCACTCATTGAAGGTCTTCGGATGATACTCTTTATTGGATACAGAAGTTCTATTCCATTCCTCACTACGAAAAGTTATTCTTTAAAAGGGTGATTGTTTTTAAAAGGATGATGGTTGTTGAATTTTGTCAAATGCTTTTGTGGCATCTTTTTGTCCATGTTTATTTTCCCTTTCATCTGCTAATATGGTGTATTGCATTATAGATTTCTAATGTTAAGGCATCCCTGCATTCCTGGAATATATACTATATTACATACTATATATGCTACACAATATACACTACATATCTATATAAAATTCTCCATTCAAGAATCAATGCTCAGGGAGGTTCCCAAGCAACCAAAGTAGCATAAATTGAAATATGAAAACTACTTGAGGGAAGGCCCAAGGTTACAAACCATTAGGAGAGTCTTTCTTCCATCCACTCCCTTTCTTAGTACCCAAGTTGAGATAACTCCCTATATAAATAGGCAGATGTTTTTCTAATCCACCTTTGTAGTCTTTTGTAGGTTCTAACTTTATGTGTAAATCTCAGTTCCAGCTCCCATCTTTCATGTGCCCAAGCCTCATCTCTTGTCCCTACATGGCTGTTAAAAATCTAAGCTTCTTGTAACTATGTCCATCAACCTACTGTAGCACCCACTCATCAACTTTCCCTTCTAGTTTTCAGTTCTCCTTTCTATTTTGGGCCCTGGGATTTACCTTACTTTCCTGTGAGCTCTGAAATGAGCTTAAAAATATTTGTTCAATTCTGTCCAAAATTTCTAGGTGCTTTCTAGCAGTATTTTCAGCTCATTGAGTTTGCCATTTTTCCAGAAACAGAGGTCTCTAAGGATACCCTTTTATCATCAAAAAATTTCAAAGACCTCACATGCATTTACATTCTATCATCATCATCATCATCATCATCATCATCATCACTATCACCATCATCATCTTTATCATCTTCTTCATTATCACAGTTAACATTTAATTAAACATGTTCCAGGTACTGGGCTAAATGCTTTTAATTGCCAGCATCCTATAAGGTAGATACATATTAGTTATCATAATTTTATAATCTATTTGTTGAAGAAATAAATGCTATGTAATCAGTAAAACTTTAAAATAAGTTTCCTTTCATGTAATCACAGTAGCGTATTTTTTTTTAAATAGTAGCATGTATACATGCAAGATATATAATTTATCCCACCTACAGACTCTGCTAGGTGAACATATGAATTTTGGACTCTCCTTAAAATAATCTCTTACTCTTTTTCCCCACTTTGCTCCTCTCCAAGGCAATCTGAAAACCTTAGGTTAAGATTCAGTACTCCACATAAAACATAAGAGAAAAACTGAGTGGCCACCATGTGTCAGGTACTGACTTCCACAATATTACAAATCTTCATTAAACTGTATAATAAGCCAGTGGAATAGGTACTATTATAATTTTACAGATGATGACACTTATAGTCAAACAGATGAAATAATTCACTCAAAGTCACACAGTCAATGTCGGAGGCAGGCCTCAATTCCAGCCAGGTCCTCCCATACCAAGTACTGTGCTCTTCAGCCACACCAGTGAACCACCTCCACTACATCTACCAACTGCCCCAGTCCAGCTGAGCAGGCTGTGTACTACACAACTTTAGGGGGTACCATTCACACTGTTGTCATCACATACTTGTATATTTATTTTAACAATTTCCCAGTAGATGGTGATAATCAGCTTGAGGAGATACTATCTTTTTCTAATTTAAATAATAATAGCAATAGTTCATAAATTATCTTTAGCTTCTTTGTTGTAGGAAAATTGCCACCTTCTAAGAAACTCACTTCATTTAGTGGCTTTAATTGCCAGAAAATTGCCATCTTAAGCCAAAATCTAGCACTCTGTAACTTCCACTAGTATTTCTATACCTGCCCTATGACACCTCAGAGAATAAGTATAAGCCCAATAAACCAGTGATTCTCAAACTCTAGTGTCCTTAAGAATCTGCCTGAAGACCTTCTAAGAACCTCACATCTGAAATTATGATTGAATGTGTCTGGAGTGAGAAATAGGAAGCTGCATATTTAGCAGGCACTGTAAGTGTTCCCTGGAAAAAACACTGGCAGACAATTATAATGTCTCCTCAACGTCTTAATTAATATTTGTTCTTATATTTTAAAGGGCTCCCAAAATAAATGTGAGGGGGGGTGGAATATTACTAAAAGCCAATTAGTCGTTTATATCTATGCATTAGAAAAATATCTTTTATGTAAATATCTTGAAGACATCATTATTTAGAACAGCAGATATTCCTGGGGGGGGGGGGGAATTTTAAGCAGGAAAGGTTAGTGGAGGAGATCTATTTTGCTTCTTAATCCAGCAGGCAAGAAAATGGTAAATTATTATGGATCTTCATTATAATATTCTTTATAAAAGGTAGAAAATGTCCCTGTAGTTTTCAATGTATGCAGAAACCATAAATTCTCAAATTTTAAATTTTCAAAATTATTTCTACAATTAACCATTATACATTTACAAATTTGATGTTATTTCAAAACAAAAATTCAAGTTTTAAGCATATTTTTGAAAACATGTTGTAATACCTTTAATATTGGAAGAATTTCTGGGATCCCTTTTGAGGTCTCAAGTAATTCCTCAGTCCCTTTTCTTGAAGATATGTCTGAAAAAGAAAGAATTGAAAGGGGGGAGAAAAGGAAGAAGGAGAAGGAAGACGAGGAAGAGAAAAAAAGGAAAAGAAGGAAGAGGAAAAGGAGAGAGCAAGAAAGAGGAAGAAACCAAGGGAAAGAAGGGAGGACCATAAGAATGAAAGGAGGAAAGAGAAAAATGGAAATATAGCAATGAGCATAATCATAAAAAAATTATACTAAGTTTGTTATCTTTTTAATTACCTGTTATCTTAGAAATGATTCAACACTTTAGAATTTTACTAAGTACCAAATTGTTTCTTCCATTTAATTAGAGTTTTTCTTTATATAAGGCAATTTAAAAGCATATTTCAATATAATAATAATCTTGTTTATCAACAAGGTAATATCATGGTGAAGAGACTGGTCTTCCTATATATTCCATAAATTCCATTTAAAAGCATTCAAAAAATAACAGCATAGAAGCTTTATGAATTTGAACCAATATCAGAGAAGGCTAATTTGAATTAGAGGAATATAAATGATAAATATTTATATGGCAATGCTAGTCTCCTATTTTAAAATCTATTTAATAATCCAAACTAAACAATGTATTACTTAACAGTCAATAAAAGTCTTGAAAGAGATTGTTGTAGCTATTAATAATGTAGAGGAATGACTTGTACTTTATGTTTTATGTGCCAATAAAGGTGATGGGAATAATACCCTTAGTTATAAGAATTTCTATATCTAAATAGGAACAACCCCTCATTACATAAATATAGAAGTTTTCCAAGTTTATAAATGGATTAAGCTCCAAAATTGATTGGTTCTTTTGAAATGAAACATTTTAATAAAGAATCAATACCTCAAATTGTATTTATTCCATTTATAATCAAATAGTATAAAACAGTAGTCTCCCAACAGTAATTAGTAAATTAAACAATAAAATTGAATAAGAAATAAACATTTTAATAAAGTAATCATTGGGCCTTTTGCTTCCAGTGATGGATAATCTGTAAAAGTTCTCCTGGCTGGAGAAAAGCTGGAAAATACATTCTTTACATTTACAAGCTAAGAAGATAGTGAAAAAACAAATACAGTGCCAGGATCTTGGGAAGGGAATATGTGAGGAAAAAACAAAAACTGTTTTCCTTCTGCTCCCTCACCACAACAATCAACACAGATTTCTGTGACCAAATGTGTAGCAAGGAGGTTCCATTTTCTGCACACACCAATGGAGTTTCCATTTTCTGCACGTAAGCAATCAATTCTGCAGAATTGGACACCTGTTCAATTTCAACACTATCTCCTAGAGAGATAGTATCAGATCTCACAGGTTGAAGACTCAGTTCCACAAGACTGCCTCCCATTTCCAGTGCCAATTGCAGCGCCAGGTTGGTCTTACCTGTGTTTCTGACCACTGGCTATAAATTGAGGTTTCCCTGACCCCCTCCTTGGGTTGAATTTATTTGCTAGAGCAGCTCACAGAACTCAGGGAAACACGTTTTATCATAGAGCATATTATAAAGGATACAGATAAATAGATACATAGGGCAAGGTATGGAGGAAGGGGTACGGAGCTTCCATGTCCTCCCTGGGCATGCTACCCTCCAGGAACTTCCACTTGTTCAGGTATCTAGAAGTTCTCTGTACCCTGTCCTCTTGGGGCTTTCATGGAGACTTCACCGGATAGGCACAGGCAAAAAAAAAAGTATGATCTAATACTAATTAATAGACTGAGTAGGGAAATCCATTGTTGTGCTTTGAATATTTGTCCCTCCAAAACTCATGTTGAAATTTAATCCCCAATGTGTCAACACTGAGAGATGGGGCCTTTAAGAGGTGATTGGCTCATAAAGGTTCTGCCTTCTTGAATGGATTAATCCATTAATCATGGTAGATTTATGAATTAATGAGTTCTAATCAGAGTGGGACTGGTGGCTTTATAAGAAGAGGAAAAGAGATCGGAGCTGGCATGCTCAGTCCTCTTGCCACATGGTGCCCTGCACAGCCTCAGGACTCTGCAGAAAGTCCCCACCAGCAAGAAGGCCCTCACCAGATACAGCCCCTCAATATTAGACTTCTCAGCCTCCACAACTAGAAGAACTAAACTCCGTTTCTATATAAACTAACCAGTTTCAGGTATTCTGTTATAAGCAACAGAAAACAGACTAAGACACCCAGCAAGGCCTGTCTGTTCAGATTCTTCTTGGCCTCTCTATGCAGCATTCCTTCCTCCCAGGTACAGGGCAGGACCCCTTCTGAAATGGGGTTGGTCTTAAGGCCTACAATCAGACAAGGGAGGTCAAAGAATTTCTTTATGGCCAGCTCCAAGACAGAAAGGAAGGGGAAGATTAGAGTACATTTTTAGTTTCTATGGCTAGCCTTGGAGAGAAAAAGGAGCAGGTGAAAGGAAAAAAAGAAGAAACTCAAAGAAAGAGATTCTGTTTTCTAAGATCTGCTTCTTCTGAGGCCTAAAGCACCCCAACATCATAACAAAAGACTGTATTTCACCTTTATTACTCGGAAGCTGCTCTGAAGCTCCTTCAGAAACCAAGGACCAAAAGCCAAATACTTCAACAAAGGATATGCTTATTGTTTTAGTCCCTTAGGAAATGGCAAGGACTATGGGAGTTATAAGCCAGGAACTGTGTATTTACACACAAACAGCATGGAATTTGAACTGTGTGGTTCTACTTATATGAAGATTTTCTTCCCCCTCTTTCACCCTTGAGACAGCAAAACCAACCCCTCCTCTTCTTCCTCCTCCTCAGCCTTTCAATGTGAAGACAATGAGGATAAAGACTTTTGTGATGATCCACTTTCACTTAATAAACAGTAGGTATATTATATTTTCTCTTCTTTATGATTTTCTTAATAACATTTTCTTTTCTCTAGCATACTTTATCATAAGAATACAGTATATAATACATATGACATACAAAATGTATGTTAGTCAACTATTTCTGTTATCAGTAAGACTTCCGGTCAATAGTAGGTTATTAGTAGTTAAGTTTTTAGGGAGTCAAAAGTTACTTGTGTGCCGGGCGCGGTGGCTCACGCCTGTAATCCTAGCACTCTGGGAGGCCGAGGCGGGCAGATTATTTGAGCTCAGGAGTTCGAAACCAGCCTGAGCAACAGCGAGACCCCGTCTCTACTAAAAATAGAAAGAAATTAATCGGACAACTAAAAATATATAGAAAAAATTAGCCGGGCATGGTGGTGCATGCCTGTAGTCCCAGCTACTCGGGAGGCTGAGGCAGGAGGATCGCTTGAGCCCAGGAGTTTGAGGTTGCTGTGAGCTAGGCTGACACCATGGCACTCTAGCCAGGGCAACAGAGTGAGACTCTGTCTCAAAAAGAAAAAAAAAGTTACTTGTGGATTTAGGATCAGTGCCCCTAATCCCCACATTGTTCAAGGGTCAGCTGTGTGTGTGTGTGTGTGTGTGTGTGTGTGTGTGTGTGTGTGTGTCTATACAAGCTTGAAATAAATAGCTTGAAAAGGAAGTAAGTAGGAGAGGAACTGTTAGAGATTGGGGAGATTTAATAGACATGTTATAAAAATACAATACATGAGCCGTGTTTGGATTCTGATTGGAACAAACCAACTTTAAAAGACATTTTTTAATACAGTGGTGGACATGGGAATCATTACTCATTTCGTAAGGTATTATAATAATGGCATTGTGGTTTTCTATTTAAAAAATCCTTATCTATTAGATAGGTAAATAGACACATGCACGCATACACACACACAGGGATGGGGGGAGGGGTATTTGCTGGTAAAATGACATGATGTCTGCTTAAAAACACTCTGGGGCAAGGCTGAGGGAAATGTTATAGGAAGAGATGAAATAGGATTAGCAAGACGTTAATTATTAGTGTTGGATGATGCATACATGGTAACTTATTTCATCTCTCTGTATTTGAAATTCTGCCTAATAAAAGTTTTAAAAAGAAAAAAAGCATTTGAAGACAGGACATTTTTAAAATATGACTACAGGTCACTGATTGTGTGAGATGGCCAGAGACCTCTAACCTATGGTTCTCAAACTTTGATGGATCAAATTCACTGGGGAAGCTAACAAAGACTAAAAAGGTCCAGGCTAGCTAAGGTAGGACAGAGGCTGGGCCTTGCTTTTTTAACAAGTTCCGAGGTGATACTTATACCGACCACTGTTTCAGAACCATGGCTCTAAAACTATCTGCAAAGTCACACTCAGCAACCAAGGACAGGTAGAGCCAAATTAGAGAATCTCTGGGAAAACAATTACTTTATTACAAAGCACTCACTTTTCAGATATACTCTATAAGCAGGATGAAACAACCACCATGGACACCCCCAGATTATTCTCTACATATGGGTTACCCAGTGAAATAGATAGGTCAGGGCTTCAATCACAGGAAGAAAAACAAACGAGGAGGTCAGAGCATAAGGCCATCCTTTGAGAGAAGACATCTTCTGGAATGAGAGGAGAAAGATGGAGACTATAAAGGGGCCGGGACAGGAAGAGAGGGGGAACGTGTGGGAAAAGAGGGCAAGAAGAGGAAGAGGATAAGAAGAAAGGGAAAAGAAGAGGGGAAACAGAACAAATAAACAAAGAAGAACTTTGAGAGGAGGGTATTAGAAGAGAGAAGAGAATGAATCAGAGATAAAAGGTAGAAGGATGTTGATCCATTGAACAAATATTTATTTGAGCTGCTACTCTGTGTTGGGCAATAAGGTGGGTGCCAAGGATACAAGGGTAGCCACATACGCTCTCTTCCTTCAAGCATTCACTCTTGTGGGAAATGGGAGAGGAGGAAAAACAAATGAAGATAAAAGAAAGAAAAGAAAGGAAATAGGAAGAAATGAGAGAAGGGAGAAAGAGAGGAATAGGTGATAATTAGGAATGAAGATGGGGAATAGATGGAAAGTTATCCTGTATTCTAAATTATACTTATACATTTATATTGGTATATGTGTATATTAATAACGAGTGCTGAGAAGGCAAAATGAGTCCTGTCTGCCACTGAGTCACAGCGTATAACCTTCTTTTCTTAACATCCACTTGACTAAGCCTATATTATCTATCTCTGATTATAAATCATCAATGAAGCACAATCCTGAAATGCCCTGTTTCCGTTAACAAAATTATCCTCTATTCTAAATTATACTTATACATTTATATTGGTATATGTGTATATTAATAATCTCATAATTTTTCATCCAACATTTTACCTGGAGATTTTTTAAATTTTCTTCCTGGGCTTCCCAAACACTCCAATATTTCACTTAATCGTAATGTGACCTCTGCCACTACCACAATGTCAATGTCTTCCATTTTACAACAGTGAATTACTTCATTTATCTGCCACAGAAGATAAACCCACTAAAAAGAGAAAATATACAACAAAATCAATTAAAAGCATATTATTACATTGTAGATAGAGTCATATTTTTCAAAACTTAGTACTTCCTTGAAATCACCGTCTTCTAATCATATGGAAATGTTATACAGGTATCCGCTCCTCATTAATGCCTTAATTGCAAATAATATAAAACTCAGCGGTCCTTAAAAAAATGATATAAATAATCTGTTTATATAAATTCATAAAGTAAATTCACTTATGTTTATAGTCTGCATATTCATAGCCATAATGGCAAATTTATCATGTTACTTTTATACATCCGTAAATATTATCTGTATCCTCAAAGTTCTCACTCTCTCTTCAAAGCAGCTTTTATTATCACTATCAACATCCTCCAAATTAGAGAGGGCAAAGCAGGTGTTTCAGACTCCACACTAGGTACTTTAGAAATTAGCTTTTATGCTTATATCCCCAAAGCTTGGAACATAAAACCAACCATCACACTTTGAGGCTTAAGATGATAAAACAATATTTATGCACTCACATTATTACTTAAGCGAGTACATGATAAAAATCACACGTATGCATCCCAGTGTAGCTAATCTTAGGAGGCCTCAGAATCACCAGAGATAAAATATTTGTTTTTACTAAAATATTTTCTCCTAAGTTTCCAGGTTATAACATACAGATGCTCAACTTTCTCCCTCTCATGAAATAGCTCTTTTAAATAGTCTAAATATATGATTGCAGGGGGGAAAAATGGAACTGCTTACTTATTTGTATTCTCTATTATTATTCTTCTTATTGAATTTATCCAAGCTCATGTGACTTTAGACATACTATATTTATTCCTCCCTTAAAAGCCTGAAACACCTCTCCACTCCCCAAAACAACATTAGGACAGGGATGCAAGGAACACACATTAAAAGAAAGGCTCATTTGTCTACAAAGAGTATCTTTTTAACACATACGTAAACAAATGTTGGTCGTTACGTAGGTGAATAAACTGGGAAAATTTGGATTTGAAATGTTTATGGCAACTTGAATTAGCAATAACAAAAAAACATGTGAAAAGAAACAAAAAAGGAATACTTTGTTAGTACTGATTCTATGGGTGAATTTTGCATAGTCATTTCTGGACATATTGATCCGCTGAATTCCTGACTTGCACTTCTGCCATAGGAACATGATTATGTCCACGACAATTTCTTTGTCAGGCTGGACATCCTGAAAATAAAAGTGACAAAGTAAATGAGTAAGAATAATCAGATATGTGTATATAATATTTACTGTATGCCAGGTGACACTCTAAGAGCTATACATATACTAACTCATTTAATCCTTATACCAACCCTAAGAGGTGAGTACTACCACAATCATCCTCATTTTACAGAGGAGCAAACAAGAGCAAGTGATTTTTCCCAAGATGAAATGACTAGAAAGTAGCAGGTCAGAGGGATTCAAACTCAAGTAGTCTAGCTCCAGAGTCCTCAACTCTTAGGAATGTTCTATGCTCTTCGGCCTCTCTAAAAATAGAAGTCCCAAGCATTTTTTAGGCAAGTCTATAAAACAATTACTTCCATTAAACTTTGAAATTTATATATGCTTTTCTCTTTCGAAAATTCTTGCATCAAAATAATAAAGAATTAGGGCAGGAGGGAGATGGACTAGTAACCAGATAGGGAATAAGGAGCTGGGAAAGGGTAGAGACAAGAAGGAGAACAGAAACTAAACAGAACTTCACATTGGGTATCAATGGATGATGCAAAATGAGTATGTGTTCTCTCACATCAAAGTTATTTGGCTCTTTTCAAAAGAAAACTAAAGTTACTCATTATATCTGAACTAGATAATAATAAGTTTATGATTAAAACATACCAAACTTTGAGCTCTTTTGTGGCAGCTCTATGACTTAATTTGTATATATAACACCTTAGGACAATGCTTGGGAACATAATAGAGGTCAGTACTTGATTGAATTGAACTAAGACATACAAGACTTTTAAAAAAACAGATAAATAAATGAAAGTTCCTTACCCTTTTAAGCCTTGATTATTATTTTTTGGTTTAACTCTCCCACTAGAATAATTCCATTTGCTGCTAATCACTTTTCTCTTGAAAATTAAATACCTGTCACAGGTTATAACATATTCCAATAAACCCAGAAGAAATGAAAAATGTTAGAATGGTGGAACCTCTCAAGTCTCTTATTGTGTTTCACTTACCTGAGCAAAAGCTAATATCATGCTCCATAATTGTGGTGTGCAAACTTTCTTTGTAACAATAAAACCAAATTCTCAAATGAAATTCCATCAGAATCCCAATACCATATACAAAACTAATCAAAACAGGTTAGGGTGCTACTACTTAAAGTTGGGCTTCCAAAGAACCTCAGAGAAGCCCTGGGAATTCTGTTTGATAACTATTGCTGTACTAGTTTTCCCTAAACATTCATACCCACATTTAGGCCATTTCTAAATACTGGCCATTATGTGTAAAATGACTTCCAATAACAACCAGGCTTTGTTCTCATGGACTGAACGGCAGTATTTTATTTTATTTTATTTTTTTTTTTTGAGACAGGTCTCACTCTGTCACCCAAGCTGGCATGCAGTGGTGCAGTTATAGCTCACCAAAGCCTCAACACCTAGGCTCAAGTGATCCTCCTGCCTCAGCCTCCAGAGTAACTAGGACTACAGGCACCTGCCACCATGCCCAGCTAATTTTTTACTTTTTGTAGAAATGGGGTCTTGCTATATTGCCCAGGCTTATCTCAAACTCCTGGCCTCAAGTGGTCCTCTTCCCTCAGCCTCCTAAACTGCTAGGATTACTGGCATGAGCCACTGCACCGAGCCAAAAAGCAGTATCTCATTAAACATATTAACTCTTCATTTAAACCACTGCCTCATTTTTTTCATTATTAGAAATATAACTAGCCTGGGAATTTCCCAAAAATGAACAGACACCCAAAATAACAATAATAAAAAGAAACTTTAAATCACAATCAGAATCTAACTCAATCCTATATTCTAATGATTAAACAATATAGAATTTTAGCAAGGTGCAATTCCTGCGATATTTTAAATCTGGCCCTAAATTAGGCATAATAACCTCCTTCCACACTGTTAAAAATTATTCAGACTAGCATCTCACCTGAGAAGAGGTGCAGACACAGAAATGCAAGGTTGCTGCCAAATGGAAAACATCATCTGAAAATCCAAAAGTCTTCAAACAATTATCTAAATTCACAAAATAGAGGAAAATGAAACAAAAAAGTCAATTACAAAATTTCAAATAGAAAAAGCACAGAAACTCTACAAAAATGACACAAATGATACGTGGGCAAATGCCATGTCGATAAGATAAATTAAATGCTTCCATATGAAAATAAATCTAAGCGGTCCTAATCCAACTAAAATAGACTATTAGTTTCATTAATCCACAATATGTATGCCAACTATGTCCAAAAAGATATTGAAAAGGCTTATAATATTAAAATGCACATAAAATATGGTGGTTGAAAGAAAAATAAACATAATATCTATTCAGAAATCACTAGAAGAATAAAAGTTATATCATTACTCGGTGCAAATTATTTACTGCAACTGAGAGGCCATGCAATTGTCTTAAAAACATAGCAAAACATAAAAAGTGTGGAATTAAATAGTTCTCAAAGGTCTAAGTAGCAGAGGCTGCAGATTTTCATTACATACACAGTAACTTTAAAGACTCAAAAAGTCCTAGAATGGAAAACACTGCATACTGGAAAGACAGAAAAGATGACCAACTCTTCCCTTCCTAAAGTGAACTAACTGATAACTGTGCCCTTTGATTCACTGCCCTGCTAGCCTCTCATTCATATCACTAAGCTAGCAGCTAAATGGAGCCTCATTCCTCTACTCGAAACTGTCCCTCAGAATAAAATCCAGCATCCCTACAAAGCCTAGTAACCACATTATCTGGGGCCCAGCTATTTCTTGACCTTGTCACCTACCACACTCCCAAACTTCACCACTATCACCAGTGCACTCCAGCCCGTGTCACTCTTTCAATAACCAAACACACTCTTGCATCAGGGCAAGAGTGGCACCTCCTGCTCCCTCAGACTTGAATGTTCTTCTTCTCACCTCACCTATAAAGAGCATATTTTATCAGATAACACCATCTTAATTTTTCTAAAAAGCAAATAAATACTCACCAGGAAAAACAATTTTTTTTAAATAAATTTGAGCTGACTGTCCTTCTTTATGGTTTTCCAAAGGCAAGATGGAACCTTTGTTTTTCTTTATGTTGATTAGTGGTTCGATTGCCAACAGAAGAGTTAAATCCTTCACTGCTTTCTTTGACTCTGGATCATCCTCACCCTTAGAGAAGTATATCGCACAAGTTAATTAAATATCATTTCAACAAAACGGAAATAAATGAATGGTTTTGCATATATTACCTGGAGAAAACAAATAAGACGCCCTGCTGAAGATTCAAATAAACTCCACTCCTCATAAGTAAAAGCCAATTTTATAAATTTCACAGCAACATCCATGGAAATAACATTTTTCCTTTCTATCATAAGTTCCAGAAGAGATGTTTTTGGAAAAGCGAGTATTCCATCTGCACCAATATTTGAACCTAGAAAAGGAAAGAGTTTGAATATCATTCACGCAAATAAGTATTTATTTACTAAATACTAGCTATCAGATACTGCCAAGCACTAGGAGAAAATGGAAAAGAAACAGGCACAATCCCTGCCTTCATAGAGTTTACACTAGCAGGGGACAGAAGAAATCTTAGGGGGCAAATACAGGGTGCTGTAGGGACAAAGAGGCAGGACATCCAATATGGGTATGGGGCAGGAGGGCAGTCAGGGAAGGCTACCCAGAGGAGTGGCAGGAAATCTCAAACATAGAGAACTAGCGAGAGTTCAGCCAAATAGGCAGCTGGGTGTAGACTGGAAACTCAGGAAAGCAATCTGAAATAGGACTATAGCTTTTAGAGTCATCATTATATATCCATAGCAAATAATAGGTTCAGCCATGGGCAAGGTGTAGCTGCCTAGGACAGGATAATAAGGAGCACCAACATTTAAGAGAAGGGCAGAGGGAAAAGACTGGAAAGGAGAGTGTTTAGGGAGAAAGGACTAGTCAACAATAACAAATACTACAGAAGTAAAGGAAGAAAAGGACTAGCTGGGCACGGTGCTGCGCGCCTGTAGTCCCAGCTGCTTGGGAGGCTGAGGCAGGAGGATCGCTTGAGCCCAGGAGTTCAAGTCCCACCTGGGCAACATAACAAGACCTCATCTCTAAAAGAAAAAAGAAGGAAGAAAAGGACAGGACTGAAAAAGGTGATCCTTGCATTAAGCAATAAGGTTGTCCATGACATTCTCAGTAGAGTGCTCGGGACAGAAGACTGCCTGCTGTATAAGTAGGAAGAATTGGAAACAGTGAAAATAGGCAATTCCTTCAATAAATCTGTCTATGCCAAGAAGAAGACATAAGATAAAGGGACTACTTGGAGGGATTAATCTTAATGACATAAAGAGCAGGAATGACTCATTTTAATGAGAGACAGTGGAAAAGGATGGATGCAGATGAGGGGAAGTTTTGGGGTTTGGGCGAAGGAAGTCAAGGAAATTCTCATCTGAGAACTTGTTATTTTTCTTGTGAAGAGATGAGCCCAAACTGTGGCTCCACAGGTTCCCTGCCTCCTGATGGGCACACGTGCGTATACACACACAGACACGCACTCACTAAACTCACCTAGAGGTACACAAGTTAAGGTCTAGGCTTTCATCCCTCCTCCCAGGCAGACACTGCAGCCAAGTCAGGTCTTCCAAGGCAACAGAAGGAAAACTCATGAGGAAAGAATATCAAAAGCTCAAGCACCTTCAAAGAAAAACCACAAATGAAGCATCCTTTACGACAGGAAGTAGGAAAATGGGACAGAGTGAACAAGAACTGAAGCACAAGTATTCTCTCAGAGAAGTAAGAGTGGATATCAGAAATGTGAGGCAAGAACAAGTGCTGTGGAAAAGAACCAAGTGGATACAAATTATAAAGCATATCATTGCACTAGGCATGGTGACGCACCCCTGTAATCCCAGCACTTTGGGAGATCAAGGCAGGAGGATCACTTGAGGCCAGGAGTTCAAGACCACCCTGGACAACATAACGAGACCCTGTCTCTACAAAAATTTTTTTAAATTAGCCAGGTGTGGTGGCGCACGCATCTTTAGTCCCAGCTACTTGGGAGGCTGAGGCAGGAGGATCATTTGATCAACTCAATAAATCTTAATAAATCTACCAAAAAATTTTGATAAAACTCAACAGTTATTTAGGATTAAGAACAAACAAACAAAAAACTCTTAGCAAACCAAGAATAAAAGAAACTTCCTTAATCTGAAAAAGGGTATCTGTAAAGATCCTTCCGTAAATATCTTAAGTAAATGGTAAAATGTTGAAAGCTTTCCATTGGAGATCAAAAATGAGACAAGGATGTCTGCTATCATCATCAATTATTTATGTGTTATTGGAGATCCTAGCCAGTGCAATAAGTCAAGAAATGCAAGAAAAAAGAAATTAAAAGATTAAGAATTGAAAATAAAATTGTCATTATTCACAAATTATTGTATGTACAAAAAAACTCCAAAAAATATACTAATAATTATTCAAAATATCAATTAACTTTAGCAAGGTTGCTGAATTCAAGATCACTATAAATTGTATCAGTGTCTTACATATGGACTGTCATCCTAAAATTTTTTGTTATTTATGTCTACCATAAAATATCCCCTTAACATCTTACTTACTTATTAAAAGTTCTTTTCCTGCCATGAACAGTTCTGAGACAACATCACGAAGCTCCACTTCATCTGTAACAAGAGGTCCAGTTTGCAGTACTCGCCTATTTGAATCAGAAAGAGCTTCAAAGACAGCCAGAAACCGGGATGCAGTGCTATCAAACATCTCGTCCAACAGCCGTTCTGTGACAGTCCGTGGCCATGACAACTGGAATACAAAATAATTCAGTCCATTTTTTAAAGATATTAATTAGTATAGGGTAAAGCAAAGTAAGGCATGCTTAATTAATGCAAGTAATAAAACAGAGTGCTTGGTCTAATAATGAGATGGTTTTCATTTTTTGAGATGTCACCCCAGACTCCATTAAAGTTTATGTCATGCCATTGCATGAAAGACTTTGCTGTTTCTTTATATGTTTGTGTTTCCAAGGTGGCATAAAAAGGCTGTTTGTTACGGTCTTTTTATTAAGTCAGGATCAATCTCCATATGCTTTATAGTACTTAATTACAGCCTTAAGACACTGATACTCAAACTTTGGTTGCCTAAGAATCACTCAAGGCTGCTTTTTCGATTCAAGACCAAATCTCCAGAGATTCCATGTGTCTGGGTGAGACATTTTTAATAAGCACTGCGGGAAATTCTAATGCTTGAAGGTCTTCAAACTCAAATTTGAAACAATATTTCATAGTATAAATAACTAGGCTTGTGGTTGTGGACTCTAAGGAAAGCTGATCAGCTGTATACTAATAAGCTAGTGATGGTTAGAACCCGGTGTGAGTTCCCAATCACTCTGCTTTGTCGTGGCCCAAAGTGACTGCACCTCCTGCAGATGGCTTGCCTCCGCCACACTTTATCTTCTCTCCGACAAATGACCTGTTCTCTGCATTTGGACTGCCAGTAAATAAGAGCTGTCTTCTAGTTGGCTTTTCCAGCATCTGTGTCCAAATAGAAGATACCCACCGTATTCCCCACAATTCTCTTGCTTTTATTTCTCTTCTTGGGACAAGGTTAGAAAGACAAAAACAAAGCAGGGATAAAGCTGCTTGGAACTATTTTTCCCCAAACACCAGCTTCCCTACTTATTAGTTTCTGTGCCTTTTCAATCGATAGGTCAATTGATATATTAAAAAACCTTTATAAAATTTGAACTTCATTTGGTGCCTTCTCTTTCCTTACAGAGGTAAGGGTTTCTCCTAAGATTTCTATTGTAGATTAAAACAGAGCTTTAAAAATATATATTTAAACAGCAAAATGAACTTTCTTCTAATAATTAAAAGTATTCAAAATGGAATGGTAAAACTCAGATGGATAAAAGAGTGAAATCGCTCATTAAAATATCATAGAAAAACTAGCAAAAAGAAGAATATCAGAGCTGTGGATGAATACTAAATAAAAGATTTTTAAGTATAAATATTTAAAAGATCAGGCTGGGCGCGGTGGCTCACACCTGTAATCCTAGCACTCTGGGAGGCCGAGGCAGGCGGATTGTTTGAGCTCAGGAGTTCGAAACCAGCCTGAGCAAGAGCGAGACCCTGTCTCTATTAAAAATAGAAAGAAATTAATCGGACGACTAAAAATATATAGAAAAAATTAGCCGGGCATGGTGGTGCATGCCTGTAGTCCCAGCTACTCGGGAGGCTGAGGCAGGAGGATCACTTGAGCCCAGGAGTTTGAGGTTGCTGTGAGCTAGGCTGACGCCACGGCACTCTAGCCCGGGCAACACAGTGAGACTCTGTCTCAAAAAAAAAAAAAAAAAAAATTTAAAAGATCTATAAAAAAGAAAGCTAAAGCAATAAAAAAAGTGGATTGTCAAGTATGACAAACAAAACATTAATGTCTTATAAAAACAATGAGCTCAAATATATTTTAAAAATTAAAATCTCTAGTAGATAAATGGTCAAAGACTACAAAAGATAATTCACACAAAAAAGTAAATGTAAAGAGTAAACACAAATATTAATATAGGGAAAAGTTGTATCAAAGAAATAAAGTTAAATAACAAGCCATTTTATGGAAACTGAATTTGCAAAAATAACGTTTAAACAAATAATATCAAAATAATAACCTGTGGTAAAATTGGTAAAATTGTCACCTTGAAAATAGGAGTATCTATTTTGGAAATCAATTTAGCAATATATATTAAAAGAAATAAAAATGTTAATATCCCTTTGATTCAGAAATCCTACACCTTAGCCTATCCTCCAAAGTGAGGTATCACAAGAATGGAAGAATAAGCACCACATGTACTCGCCCTCTAATTGGCAGTAACTGATCAACACTAAAGTGCTCACACGGTAGTAATATTCCTTGGGGGTTGGGGGTTTTGGGGTGGGTAAACTCGCAACTAATGGACACAGTAAGCATTGTATGGGGGAAAGGGCACACCTCCAATCCTGGCTTGGGTGAGGCAAAGTCATAACATGTAACCAAATGTTTGTACCCCCATAATATCCTGAAATAAAAAAAAAGAAAGAAAAATTGAAAATTGAAAAAAAAAAAGAAATCCTACATCTTGAATTTTATCCACAGGAAATAAAAGAAAGAAAACCATAGTATGCCTGAAGATGCAGATGACATCAATATTTATAATAGCAAAAAAATTGGAAACAACTAAATTAATAGTAATAAAAATATTAGACAAATTATGGCACAGCATGGTATACATATTGCATAGGATGTATAATACCATTGTTTAAAATGTCAGGATGGATGACAATCTGGATTATACAACCCATACAGTTCGTGCCACCTTTAAATACTATGGTTGCCATGATATCTACTCTGTGAGATGTATTATACAATGTTAATTCACCAACATTATACATCTACCCTAGTCAACCTCTATTTCTCACTGACCCCCAACTAATTTTGCCTATTCTGGCTTCTAAGCTATGATCATGCTCTGCTAATCCTTTACTTAGAATGTTTTCCTCCCTCCTCCCTGTCTAACCAAATCATGCTCATTATTTCAAGGCCATTCGGAAAGCAAAAACTGTGAATTAGTATTTCTATATTCCACTATACTTGAAACCACAGTAGGCATTCAATATACAGTTGTTGAATGAAGGAATAGTAAATAAGCAATAATAATAGCTAATATTTACTGAGACCCTACCATATGTCAGGAACATTCTAAGGGATTTATATGTAACTCATTTAATCCCCACCACACCACCACCATTATTTCTTTCTTAATATTTATCACGAGCTATAATTATTTTGTTTATTTACAATGTAATTTCTTCACTACAATTTAATCTTCATCTATATTGTTCACATAACAGGTACTTAAAAAATATTTTTTGAATGAATCACTAAATGGTTGATCATTAGGAGTCTATAAAAACTACCCACTAAACAATTATAATTCTTTTCTAAAAAAAATACCACCAGAATTTTTCCCACAACAATTATCTTAAAGGAAAATATAAATAAATGAGTTTTTAATGTACTTTTATCTGGAATTTTAAACATTTTTCTTTGAAAATATCTTTAATTTTGTTAGGATGACTGTAAGTCCTAATAATAAACTCAGTAATGTCAATCTTGCAGCTTTGGCTATTTACATTTTTGCTCAGAGAAAAAAATGCTGGTAAGGTAAGATATTGTTCTCTGCTCTTTTACAAAGACTCTAGCATTACTATTTAACAATCCTAGATGCAAGTAGTTCGACAGTTCATCCAAGAAATTGTTATAATTTGGCAAGTTACCCCCACCAATATATACTATTGGTCAGTAAGGGATATGATTTATTTTATTTTTTTAAATTGATTTGTGGGGTACATGTGCAGATTTGTTATGTGGATACATTGCATAGTAATGAAGTCTGGGCTTTTCGTGTAACCTTCAACCGGTTAGTAAACATAGCACCCATTAGGTAATTTCCCACCCTACATCTCTCTCCCACTCTCCCACTCCCATGAGAGTCCAATGTCTATTATTTCACTCTCTGTGTCCAGGTGTACTCATTATTTAGCTCCTACTTATAAGTAAGAAGATGTGGTGTTTGACTTTCTGTTTCTGAGTTATTCCACTTAAGATAATGGCCTCCTGTTCCATCCATGTTCTTGCAAAAGACACAATTTCATTCTTTTTTGTGGCTGAGTAGTATTCTATGGTGTGTGCGTGTGCGTGTGTCACATTTTCTTTATCCAATCATCAATTAATTAACACTTAGGTTGGTTCCACATCTTTGCTATTGTGAGTAGTGCTGTGATAAACATATGAGTGCAGGTATCTTTTTTTTCTTTGTTTTTCTTTTTTTTTTTTTACAAAGTATCAGGGGAAAGTGTGAACGCAGTCCCCCACTACCACAAATTATGCAGTTGAGTTTCCCACCTTTGGGGAAATCACAGGGGTCAGCAAATCCGAAGTGCAATGTATAAGCCTCGCCCTGGGAAAACCACCTTCGTGATCATGGCATCTCCCCTACCAGGTAAGTATAGGTATCTTTTTGATGTAATGACTTCTTTTTGGGGGGAGTAGATATCCAGTAGTGGGATTCCTGGATAGAATGGTAGATCTATTTTTAGTTCTTTGAGGAATTTCTATAATGTTTTCCATAGAGGTTGTACTAAATTACATTCCCATCAACAGTGTATAAGAGTTCCCTTTTCTTTGCATCCTCACCAACATCTATTATTTTTTGACCTTTTAATAATGGCAATTCTAACTGGAGTAAGCTGGCATCTCATTGTGGTTTTAATTTGCATTACTCTGATGATTAGTGATGTTGAGCATTTTTTCATTTGTTTCTTGGCCATTTGTATGTCTTCTTTTGAAAAATATCTGTTCATGTCCTTTCCCGATGACGGGGTTATTTGGGTTTTTCTCATTCAGTTGTTTGAGTTCCTTGTAGAATCTGGATATTAGTCCTTTGTTGGATACATAGTTTGCGAATACTTTCTTCCATTCTGTAGTTTTTCTATCTGCTGATTATTTCTTTTTCTGTGCAGAAGCTTTTTAGTTTTATTAAGTCCCATTTGTTTTTATTGCATTTGCTTTTGGGATCTTAGTCATAAATTCTCTGCTGAAGCCAATGTCCAATAGAGTTTTTCCTAGATTTTCTTCTAGAATTTTTATAGTTTCAGGTCTGTAAGGGATCTGATTTAAAAGAGATATATAAAATATACTTCTGGGCTCAGTAGTTGATATTGTCACACTGGCAATGGTAAGGTACCATGTTCAAATAATATTTGTATTTAAACATCATGATTTATTTAAAAGGAAAAAAAAGAATTACTCCTAAATGTTTTAAGAAGAAATGAGGACAGAGAGCAGCAGTCACTGGAGTAGTGAGAAAGCAGTGGGCTTAGAGATACAGGTTCCACCAACAGCTGCCTTTGTGACTCTGAGCGGTCATTTAGATACTCCGAGCTTTATTTTCCCCATCTGTAATAGAAAAGGGCTGAACCAGATGGTTTCCAAAACCCCTTCTGGGTTCTGAGATTCTACAACTCTTCTACAGAAGCTGCTCCTCTTCTTTCCCCTCACTTTCATTTTTAGTCCCTACATAGAAGCTCACAGAGAGTGTGTGGCCATCTATTAATAGAACAGTCGGGGAAAGTTTCAACAAGATATAAAACTTGGCCTTGAAGGTCAGGTGCGGTGGCTCACGCCTGTAATCCTAGCTCTCTGGGAGGCCGAGGCGGGCGGATTGTTTTGAGCTCAGGAGTTCGAAACCAGCCTGAGCAAGAGCGAGACCCCATCTCTACTAAAAATAGAAAAATTAGCCGGGCATGGTGGCTCATGCCTGTAGTCCCAGCTACTCGGGAGGCTGAGGCAGAAGGATTGCTTGAGCCCAGGAGTTTGAGGTTGCTGTGAGCTAGGTTGATGCCACGGCACTCACTCTAGCCCGGGTAACACAGTGAAACTCTGTCTCAAAAAAAAAAAAAAAAAAACTTGGCCTTAAGGGATATTGAGAGTGAGAAAGGCAGAGGGGGAGACTGTGGAAGAAGAAAAAAGGCAAAGGCAAGAGGGAGAAAGGGGGCAGAGGACCCCACAGACAGAACTTTGTCCCACTTCCTTCGCTGGGATGGTCCATAGTGCTGTTTGCCAAATACGCTTGTGGTTGGGAGGGGCTGTGTGACTAGCTATGATATGTGAGAAGAGGCTCACGTCACTTCCATACTGAGTGCCTGTGCAAGATCTTCCAGAGCTCTCTTTTATCCCCTCTGGCAGAACGACCAGCAATTTTCAAAATGAGGGCTGTTCCTCAGCCTGTCCCTGAGCAGCTTTCATAAAAGCAGAGCCTCCGATAACTATAATAACATAGGACTCCAGTGGGAAATAAATTGCTGTTTTAAGCCACCTGAGGTATGGGGGTTGTTTGTTGCTACAGGATAACCTAGTTCCTGAACACTCCCAAAGGTGAAGAAGAAGCCTAAGGCTGATGAGAAAATGTGCCTCCATCTTCTGCGCAACCTCTGAGCCTGCTAAGCTAACACAAACTAGTGAAAGACAAAGGCATGTGCAGAACTACTCAGAGGCCTGTTCAATCAACCCTTTTATAGGCTCCTCTTCAGCCTCTTGTCCTTTAAAGTTGCAAAACTGGGATTGTGCTAAGGCACAAAAGCTTTGAGAAAGAGATAAAGTGAGGCCATGTCCAAATTGGGAGATCGTTCTTCTCCCTATTTGCCCGTTGGTGCAGAGAATCAGGGGCAAAATTTAATAATGAGTGGCTAGGTTTAAAAGACGCCGAGGGGCCGGGCGCCGTGGCTCACGCTTATAATCCTAGATCTCTGGGAGGCCGAGGCGGGCGGATTGTTTGAGCTCAGGAGTTCGAAACCAGCCTGAGCAAGAGCGAGACCCTGTCTCTACTAAAATTAGAAAGAAATTAATCGGACAACTGAAAATATATAGAAAAAATTAGCCGGGCATGGTGGCGCATGCCTGTAGTCCCAGCTACTCAGGAGGCTGAGGCAGGAGGATCGCTTGAGCCCAGGAGTTTGAGGTTGCTGTGAGCTAGGCTGACGCCATTGCATTCACTCTAGCCCAGGCAAAAGAGTGAGACTCTGTCTCAAAAAAAAAAAAAGACACCAAGTTATGCACAAATACACTGAAAAAAGAGTCTTAAATTGAGAAGATGTTTTTAGACTTACAGTTTGTGCTTCCCTTAGGTTAACTCTTATCTTTGGTCTAAAGAAAGCTTTGTTTTTTCTTCTGGATTCAAAGACTCCTCTTTTGAAGATCATCACTGCCATCTGTCTCAAAAAGAAGAATTACATGTGAAGTAACAATGGGATGTACTTCTCAACTACTAATATTAAGTACTTAATCAGCTATAGAGCACAGTAAATTTCTTTTATTTCATGAAAGTTTTATACCTTTAGTGTGGCCTCTCTGTACGATCTTATGGATTCTTCATGTGAGGAACTCATTAACTCCAGTTGCCTTAACTCATCAATTTTAGCTAAAGCACGACGAGCGAATGCCTACATGCAATTAAAATAAATTTAATTAATAATGAGTTAGAATATAGTGATTAAAAATGTATAAAGACAATGTGTTTTGTTCTCCTAGACATTTGATTTAATCTGTGAATTAAGCTCAGGCTGATGCTGACTTCTTATAACATGGTAGCTATTAATAAATATCTATCCAGTCTGGCATGCTACAAGCATCACTAAAATCTATAGATCTAAAGTTAATAAACTGTCAGATATGCTAATTTTATTAATTATGAAATTCAAAAAAAGTAAGGAAAGCCAAAATATGGGTTAAACAGTAGCTCCATACAGATTATTACTTATCTGGCACGGGTGCTCACACGCACACACCTCTGTGAACACACACACACGCACGCACACACACACACACACACACACACACACACACAAACCATCCTTAGGTGTGCTTCTCAAATCTAACCTTCCTACCATAATATGCTGTATTATCTATTTAGCTGTTCATGTCATCCACTAAATTTTGAGTTCCTTAAAAAGTCTTTCTCATTTTTGTACCCCCAATACCCAGCATATAGAAAGTATTTATTAAATATCTGAGGAAAGTAAGGAAGGAAAAAGGCAGGCTTACTTATTTAATCATATCACCATTATTATAATTCTCTAGAGGTAACAAAAGAGTTCAAGAGAGTTATTAAGAGTTCATGTCATTTATCTCATGATTTGTTTGAAATATTTCATTCATAATATATAATTTTTAATGAAGATGCTTCTAGACCAATCACAATATTAACATATAGGAAGGGTTAAAATTTCCAATAAAGGGGCTGGGTATAGTGGCTCATGCCTGTAATCCCAGCACTGTGAGAAGCCAAGGTGGGAGGATTGCTTGAGGCCAGGAGTTCAAGACCAGCTTGGTCAACATAGCTAGACTCTGTCTCTCTGAAAAATTAAAAAATAAAAAATAAAATAAAATTTTCAATAAGGAAGAATCCCAGTAGGAATCAAATGTTTAAAACTACAAACATGGGCAAAAGACATGAACAGATTTTCAAAAGAAGATAGGCAAATGGCCACATATGAAAAAATGCTCAATATCACTAATCATCAGGGAAACGCAAATTAAAACCACAATAAGATATCACCTTACCCCAGTTAGAATGGCTTTTATTAAAAAGTCCAAAAACAATAGATGTTGGCATGGATACAGAGAGAAAGGAACACTTATATACTGTTGGTGGGACTGTACATTAGTATAACTTCTGTGGAAAACAGTATGGAGATTCCTCAAAGAACTAAAAGTAGACATACCATTCAATCCAGCAATCCCACTACTAGGTATCTACCCAAAGGAAAAGAAGTCTTTTAATCAAAAAGACACCTGCACTCAAATGTTTATTGCAGCACAATTCACAATTGCCAAGATGTGGAATCAACCCAAGTGCCCATAAATTCATGAGTAGATTAATAAAATGTGGTATATGTATACCATGGAGTACTACTCAGCCATAAAAAGGGTGAATTAATGCCTTTTGCAACAATTTGAATGGAACTGGAGACTAAGTGAAATATCCGAAAAATGGAAAAACAAACACCACGTGTACTCTCTAACAAATTGGAACTAACCAAGGGGCACATGTGCACAGAGGAAAGTAAAAGTCATTGGAAATCAAGCAGCGGGGAGGGGGGAAGAAGGGAGGAGTAAAAACCTACCTAACAGGTACAGTGAACACTGTTTAGGTGATGGGAGACTTACAGCCCTGTCTCAAGCATTACAAAAGCTATCCATGTAACAAAAACATTTGTACCCTCTTAATATTTGGAAATTTTAAAAACTATACAAATGTTCCATTCCCTGCTAATTTGAGTAGCTATAGGACAAAATATGCCACCACTAGTACTCTAAAGTTAATTATTCACATGTGATGAGTAGTTTCTAGTAGTTTCATACATATACGATGTATCCTGGGCTACAAAAGTATCCTACGAGGGTTGAATTAGACTATTTCTCTGCCTATGGGCCACTACCATCCAACTCTTCAGAACTAGTTTAAGCAGGAAAAACTAAGCGTAAAGGAACCATTAACTGACCAGATGATTTATTTATGGTTGTAAACAGGACATGAACAGGTATTTGCACAGCTGTGAAGGCTGTCCTACACAAGACTTCCAGCCAAGTGGGTTGAGTGAAAGCTCAAATCCAGCCTGCACTCCACTTATCAACACGTGCACCCTGGTGCAGGGATGTGTTGGCCTAAAAGAAGGGTGTCTAATTCTAATTCTCACCAAGGCCCCACCCACTGACCAAGCCAGGTGCCATGTACTGTAGAGAGGGCGCCGTTTCTAATTTACACAGAGGTACTATACAGACCAATAGAAGTCCTGACCAGTTAAGTTATATTTCAAGTATGCAATCTAAAAGATACACAGGAAAAAAACAAAGAAAAGAAATAGAGTGTATTAAAAAGGGGTTAGAAAATGTATTAAATGACGGTTAGCAGAGAAAAGTAAGACAAGAATATAGTGAGTAACAAGGAATACAAAACTGAATAAGGAAGAAAGGTGGCTTGTATACAAGAGCAAAATGAGGATGGAAAGACAGGAGGTAGAAGTTTTCGACAAGGTGACCACGGTTAATAATAATGTATTACATATTTCAAAATTGCAGAAGAAAAGATTTTATGAGTTCTTACTCCAAAAAAATGATAAATATGTGAAGTGATAGATATGTTAATTAGCTTGATACAATCATTTCACAACGTATACATTTATTAAAACATTACATTGTACCCCATAAGTATATACAATTATTCTTTGCCAATTCAAAATATACGTTTTAATTAAAAAAATACCAGCAATCCTATTCAGAAATAGAGCAAAGAAGGTGGAAGTTGATAGATAGCAAAAAGGAGAGCAAAAGATCAACAGAATGGAAAAACCAAGCAAACTTCTGCAAATATACCCTTGAACTTTTGGCTTTGCTACATTTCAATTCTTTGGTGTTTTTTTTGTTCTTGATGGCATCTAAAGTAGAAAACGCTGGATAAGCTGTATTTTTAAATATTGGAATGTTCCGAATTAAAAAGTAGCATACCTCTCCGTGAATACCAGCTTGGCAGTTGTAGTAGCACTGGCAGACAGCCGCGTAGAGGGTAGCTCTCCACGTCAGGTACCTGAGCGACAGGAGCGGGACTGAAGACTCCATACACACGCTGGCCCACAGGAGATATTCTAAGGCCTGCAAAACAAAGGGTACAATTGGATCTATTTTCATTCTAAGCTAATAATGATAGTTTTATTTAATATAATCAAATTATAAGTTGTAAGCACAAGTTGCTGACTACTTAAACCAAAATACCAAAACAATGAATCCAGAAAAAAACAAGCATTTAAAAATTAAAACAATAATTTAGATAACTCAAAATCTCAGATTAGCCATTTTACAATGTCTTCTTTCTAAGGCCTTTAATATTCTCAGCTCATTTTTATTAATATTTATCAAATGTCAATGGTCATCTAGGAGCTAACTCCAACAATACAATTGTTATTAGTTGGCCTGGAACTAGTGTATTATTCTGAAAATTAGCTGGTATAGGAGGTAGGGAACATGAAAAAGCTCACAGCCTGAGGCCAGTGATGCTTAATATTATAGAAATAGTCCAAAATTAGAATCAAATAAACCTGGGTTTCAATCTCAATTTTACCACCTAGTGTATGTATTATTTTACCTTTTCAGACTTCAATTGCCTCATCTGTAAAATGGGTATTTTATCACAACACAGCAGTGCTTTGTGGAGAAAGAGACAATGTATGCATTACGTGCTAGGATGATATTTGGCACATAATAAGCAATCTATAAATGGTGCCTATTACCACTGTAATTATTCCCAAGGTACAATTTGAAACAAAATGGCAGGAAAAGGATCACCATTATTACTGGCCTGCCTATAGGAACATATGTAACAACCTCTTGTGCCATACAAATCCACTGATAATTCTTTTTTGGTATATTCTTCCCACAAACCCTATACTGGGAAATGCTATTTGACTATGTATACTCTACAGTTAACTTTTTCAATCTTTAGTCTTTCTTTGAAAATATTTTAAAAGCTCAAAGTATAATTGCCTTTTACTTGATTTAATGTGAGAAAGAGGAAATTTGGCCTATATATTACATATTAATATAAGAAATGTTACCAGGGTGAAAATAAGAATCTGTGAGCAAAATACCTTAGAATCTGAAATTCTAAATTCTATCCATGGAAATATCAGCCTTAACCAAGTAGGTCTCCACCTGTCTCCCTGGACCATTAGGATACTTCCTCACTTATTTCACTGTCTTTGGTCTCACCACCTCCCTTCTTCTTATACACCTCCTTATACATCCTCCTCACCTCCACCAGAGTTCTCTCCTACAATGCAAACGGGGTTGTATCACTTTTGTGCTTTAAACATTTCTGTGGCTTCCTATTGCCTATATGACGAAGTATAAGTTCTTTATTTAGTAGGGCTTGCAGAGACCCTTCATGACCTAATCCCCACCTTTCCTTCCCCATTACTCTTGACCTTATACCACACATTTAAAGCTATTCCAAGATGCTTTCTGTTCCACACATCTCACTAGTCCAAATATGTGTGTCTTTGCTCACTCTCCTGTCTCTACTCTGAATGTTTTCTCTACCTGTGCCATATGCTGAAATACTACCTCCACTAATGGCAGTGTTACCTTGGACAATTTACTTAAATTCCATGTGCCTCACATTCTTCATTTGCAAAATAGGGGTAATGGTAAATATCTTACAGGAATATTTGAGGATTAAATGAGTTAATACGTGTTAAATGCTTATAACAGTGACTGGCACATAGTAAGTGTTAACTTTGGTAATGACAATGAAGAAAAAGGGGGAGGAGAGAGAAGTAGGAGGAGGAGGAAGAGAATTAGTTGTCCCTAGAGAGAAATGACCATGGCCTCATTTCAATCTCTGCTGTGTTATGTGTGCATATACATTATCCACATATATTTTATATACAAATACATATCATATGTCACGTCCAATTGCATTAACATGTTCACATGTGTGATTCCAAAATTAGACTGCTATCTCTTTGAAAATAGGAACAGAGCCTCATTCATTCTTTCATCACCAGCACCTAGGATAGTGTCAGGTACATAACAGATATTCCCAAGCATTATTAATGAATTCAGTAGACAAGCCAAAGTCAGCAGAACAAGCCACAGGAGAGCTAACAAGTATTACTCTAGGTTCTCAAATAATGATAATAAATTCAGACAGCAGAATAAAGTCCCTCTTTCAATAATGAATTAGGCCTTCAATAATTGAGGAAATCATTAAGGCAAAACAATAGTCAGACCCCACCTTGAAAAGGCAAATCAGAAAGGTCCAGGAGTTTTGTCTATGTAAAGCAAACCCACCAGACTGACATAGTATTTAATAGTAAAAATAGGGAAAACATTGATAACATTCAGATCCTATTACCATCTTTGGAGCCCTCAAAGATAGTATACATAAGACGTGTGCAAGCAGCTCCATGGAAATCTAAGAGAAAGACAAGACTAAAAGGCCAGAATTCTCTACTATCTAGTCAGTTTTGATTCCAGGGGAAAGTGACTATTGGAAATAGATCAAGGTTGGACACAGAATTGTAATATTCTTTGCTATCCACTGGAATGTGAGCTCATCTCACTAGAATGTAGTTCACTTAGGAAAGGGATTTTGTCTTGCTCATAACTGTATCCCAAGCACCTAGAACTTTATCTGGCATGTAGTAGACATGCAATTAATATTTGCTGACTGACCGACTTTCATACAAAAGTTTCAGTTCATGGTGCTAAATATGGAAATATTTCAAGCAATCGTAGAATCAAAAGGCTGAATCCAAATTCCATCTCCACCACCATATCCATCACAGGCACTACCACCAGACGCCCACAACTTCTCTCCCCAAGAGTTCCTACAGCCAGTAGAAAGGAACATACCACGTGGCAACAGAAGGCAATTTTAAACATGAAAAATAGTCCATAATCTAACATAAAATCCATCTTGCTATACCGCCAGTACATTGGTCCTAGCCTTTTGGAACAACACAAAACAATCCAAAACTCACTTCCAAATAATATCCTTCCAAGAATCTGAAACCATCTATGCAGCCTGCTTCTCCCTCAGGCCCCTATCCAGGATGAACATCCCCAAGCACTTCCATCCCTCACAGAACCGCTCTGCCCTTCTCCACCACGCTCAGTCTTCTGTGCCTTCGCCCTGGGTTGCCAATGTCGCTTTAGCGTGTATGACTAGACCCCAGTAGAGTGAAAATTCTCAGTCCCTGGCTCTGGACACTGTACCTCTACTAAGTCAGCCTGAGATTGCTTTCTTGCTGTTTTGTTGTTGCCGTCCTTGCTGTTTGCTAACCTTGCCACATGGTGAACCGATATAAAATTAGCAATCACCAAAAATTCTTGGGTTTTTCTCACATCTACAGCTCCCTAGCAACCTCTATTTCGGATTTTTGCATTTGGATTGTTGTGGTTTGGGTGGTAAGGGATGAAGCCACTTAAATTTACCTTTAAATTCACCTCTTTCCAAAATCCCTCAGGACTCCTGGCATTAGAAATTCTACATTTCCAAATAAAAATAGCTTCAGTTAACAGTTGTTTATATTATATTTGGCTTTGAATTTAGAATTAGAATTAAAGTAAATCACAGATTTTTGTCCCAGAAAGGACCTTAAATGTAGCATAATTTGACTCCCAGAGGCTAAACTGGCTCTAAGCCATAGAGCTGGGGCTGTGATTCAGGTCTCTGACCTCCCAAGTATGGTGATCTTTCTACTCCACAGAGCAGCCTTGACAAACGGGAAAAGCTCACCATAAACCGCTTAGGGTTCCTGTCTTGCAAGGTTAAACATGAAAAGCCATTTTCAAAAAATGACTCAATTTGTAGCATTTTTTTCTTACCTGTAAAAGCTAGATATAATTATTTCTGTAAAAAAAAAATTGATGGGATACAGCATGACTGTTCTTGTCATAGCAAAAAAAAAAAACTTCGAAAAACCAAATGATTTTCATATTTAAAATATGCGCCCAGCAAGAGCATGTTTCAGGTGTCCCATAGGAAAAACATACACGATCAGCTCAGCCACCGGATGGCACTGCAGCTTCACCGATATCAGCTATGTCATTTGAAGACAATGACACAGAACCAATTTCAACGTTGGGATTCAAAGCTTATGTAATGGTGTGTGAAATAATTTGACAGTAGCTATTCAAGCTGCATACTTTACCAAACTATTTCAATTTTATAGTAAAATGGCACAGAAACCAATAGCTTCTTAGACTGGATTCTATTGTATTTTTTAATATTTGCTAAATACTATACAGTTGCTGTTGTTATTGTTTTTGTTGTTTGGGGAGGTTTGTTTTTTTGTTTTTGAGACAGGGCTTCATTCTGTCCCCCAGGGCTAGAGTGCAGTGGTATTATGGAAGCTCACTGCAGCCTTCAACTTCTGGGCTCAAGCAATCTTCCTGCTTCAGCCTCTCAAGTAGTTGGGGCTACAGGTACCTACCACCATGCCAGGCTAATTTTTCTATTTTTTGTAGAGACGGGTCTCTCTTGCTCAGGCTGGTCTCAATCTCCTGACCTCAAGCAATCCTCCCACCTCAGCCTCCCAGAGTACTAGGATTACAGGCGTGAGCCACCACACCCAGCCTAAATAGTACACAGTTTTAAATGCCACAGAAGAAACTACAGATTATTCCACAAACAAAAGCAAAATTGTCATATGTCTTTAGTGAAAGAAATTTCAGAACTCTGACTTCCCTCTGATCCCTAAATTTATGCTGGTAACTTGCCTCAGCACTAAATTAAGTGTTTCCCATCTAGGGAAGAGCCCCTGGTTAGTCTTGATCTTCAGAATCTCTTTAGGAACACAGAGTCATATCAAAAAATATCAGCCCCTTCCATACAGCTCCTCCATTTGAGTAGGAAAACCAAAATAGGACGGGTCATTGCAGGATTCGATTTAGTCAATAGACATGCAGTATTACAATGGTGTTGGGAGGCACTACAGGGTGACACTGGCTCTGGCTTCAGTATACCTGTGACTCGATGTGTGACCTTGAGCAAATTAACTTTTCCCAGCCTCAGCTTCCTTATCTATAAAATGGAGGTAATAACAGCACCTTTCTCAAAGTGGTGGTGTGAGGATTAAATGAGATAATACATGAAAGTGCTTAGAAGCATACCTGATGGATGGTAGGCATTCAGTCAACAAATGTTAATGATGATGATGATGGTATTGCCCTTTGCACAGTACCTAGCACACAGTACTGATTCAATAATAATAACAAAGGGTAGCCATAATGCCTAAATCCTGTAAAAATGGGAGTTTAGATTGTTCTAGATCCTGAGGATCCCAGGTCTATTTCCACTCCTGTCTCTGCTATAACAGACTTGAACGCTAAAGTCACTACAGTATCCAGGTCCCTCGGACCCAGAAGCACTTGGACATAGGCTTGTCTCCATTAAATGGATGCCTCAAGTCCCTTTTTAGCCTCAGCTCAGGAATCAACTTACCAGCTAAGGGGGAGGGAATTTCTCGGTGAAAATTATTAATTTCCTTGAAACCTGTTATATTAAAGAAACTGAAAGAATTTCATCCTGATCTTCAGGTGGCAACTGCACAACCACCGACCACCCACAGTCCTTGCATCCCTCACTCCTCTCACTCCCATCCCACAAGACTGAGACCACAGAACCATCCTCCCTCACTCCTTATTTTGTCAGAGACAAACCCAAGTTATATGAGGAGATGTCTCGCACAGTTTATAAATAACAAATTATTTTAAGATGACTATCACTTTAAATTAAAATTCTCTCAGCATTAACAAGTACAAACACTAACAGTGAAATGTTGGCACAGACATCTCTGCCCTTCAAAGCTTTGGCAGGCAAACACTGTAGCAGACCAAACCATGACGGCCCTGTGAAGCTGTATTTGTTGTTGTACCGAGTGCAACAGGAGTATGCAAATTCTTTTTAGGAAATCATTTGGAGCTGAATGTAGAGTCATTAGAATAGTCTGTAGGCCAAATTGACATTATACATGAGACAGTGTCCCCTCAATTTAATTCACACTCAAAAAGCTAGCTAGTTCAAGTCACTGACAGTAACAGAGTTTTTTTTTTTTTAATTTGAGGAACAAAACAGAAAGAGAACACACAATGTTATGCATTGAACATGCAAATATCTTTACGTCTATTTTTATTTTTTAAATATTGTCAACTTTTAAGATACTTGGCTATGCTTTGAAGAAATAAGAAAAAAAGTATCTCTCCTGAATATTCAGGGTAAGGTTTCGCATGGAATGAAGAAAAATAAAGTAGTCATGTTGCAGATGCCAGCAACAACTCAAGCAGGGTATCACCTGGAGTATATTTACCCTTCTTGAACTGCATTCCAGTAACTGGAAAATGAATATAGGGAATAAATATGTCTCCTAGAGCAAAAGTGCTAACAACATTGTAGGGAAGTCAGTAAAAGAGTCAGCAATGTCCTCAAGCCAAAACTGAGCATTGAGTATTGGGAAGTGAGAATCTTATTATAAAATAAAATCTCCTTGCCCTTGTCTTGTGACTGGGTCAGAGTTTAAGTGTTCATTCGCCCAATTAGCATGTAGGCATTAAGTAAAGTGCAAGCACTTCAAGCAGGATGAAATCCAAGCTCTACAGCGTGACATAAATAGAGTAATCATAGTTTATCATCCAAACCAGGACACTTTTAAAAGTGAAAGAGGGCACTATTAATAATGATTCCAGGACAACAGGCATAAAGCAGGACTACCCTGGGCAAGCCGGGATGGATGGTCACCCTACCTAGAGACATAGTAACCACATAGATGTCCAGTATCATGGGTGACAGGTGTGACTATCTGAGAGACAGAGAGACACTGGAGAATACCTACCAATTTTAGGAATTCCCTTTCTTTTCATTAATGCTTTATTGTCCACATTTTTACATATGATCACTATTAAAGTAAAACTAAGAACAGTAAAACTATATAATATATATTCACTAAATTTTATATTGTATAATTCATTAAATATTCTTTGTTTAACATTCAATGTACTGTGTAATGAAAGTCTTAAGAAAATCAGGAAATATAGGCAAAAATATTTTGTCAGTACATTTCATACCTTGGAAGATTGACCTATGGCCATCAGTTTTCTGCAAATGGTGTAAATGTAAATGGTACCTAGATGGAGAAAAAGATTCTTAACACATTGCACAGTCTAAAGATGGAAATTTTATATTCCAGTTTCTGTGGTTTAAGTCTGTAGTTCCCAAAACAAGTGATCTCATGAGAAATTCTGATAATGATAGAGAGTTATAAAAATCACTATAATTTCTCTTATAACTTATAGACAAAATCATTAAAATAAGTAACATAGCCACATTTAAATCTGTCAATACAGAATCTTTTAGTCTCATTTTAAAGGCAATTTAAGTTTTGAAATATATTGAACAAAAGAATATTTTTAGTGGCATAATTTATGTACCCTGTGGTTTTATTAATTCATATAAAACAGTATTGAGTCCCATGGTTTCCTTACAGTTGGAAAAGCTAAAGATTTACTTTCCAATAATGTTAGAATGCACATTAAATCAGCATGGTACAATACTCAATAAGGAAACTCATAATTTAAAAATCATAATGCATAACAGTTTGTATCCTATTCATTCACAGACTCATATATATCCTATTATTAAAGTATGTCATATAATAGTCTAATGAAAAAACAGCATTTCTAGCACTTAAGCAAGATCATTCAGATATGCTTTTGTGTCAAACCATTAATTAAATGAAGATAAAATGCAGGGTTGGAGGAAGAGTGGGGAACAACATCACCATACATCTCTTTGTATACAAAGGACTCGATCAAGCTATAAACATACCCAAAAGATGGTAATGTGCTTTAAAAAAGCATGTAATTGTAATGACAGGTAGTGGAAATATTTTCTACAAAGTATCTAATATTCATAACCAACAAAAGTCAACAATTATGAATCTTATGTTCACATTTAAACTTTAAAAGCTTCTGAGAAAGCAGAATCTGCACCAAAACACCTATCACTTGAATAAAACACACCTAATAAACATTAATTGCACAAATCAGTGACAAAAAAATTGAATAAAATTTAAACTTAAACGCATATAGCACCATAAACGTCGTAGAGAATGCAATTGGTTCTTCACATTCAAGGACTTAGCATTCTTTATGTGACTGCTTCCCTGATATGTATTTATTTCACTTAAGATCCATGGTGGAAGAAACTATTCAACTAGTAGCAGCTCAAGCCCAGCATATTTATCTCAAGTTGGCTTTGTTGACCTCTACTATTAATCTATAAAAATAAAAATGTATAACTGTTTCTTTGTAGGAAAAAAAAAAGTCATTGAGTCAGGATATGCACAGGAAACACATGCCTTTCCACAAAACATGTGGTGCAGGTGTAAGCCAGGAGCCTGTATAAACACATCAGCAACCGGGAACTGGGAACTTAAGACGGCCTTAGGAGACTGCCCTCAAGAATGACAAGGGCCCTCTGTATTTCAAAAATGTGCCTTTAACCTTCCCAGCCCTAATACGTTCTGACTATAACTGAATCCTTCTTTGATAGTGCAGGATCTTGGCATGGCTCTCAAATTCCCATTGCAGAAGCCAAAACGAGAGACTAAATCGTAAAAGATGGAACACAGACTGAATCTTTATGATCTCAGGATATTTCTAGAAGTTTGTTTTGTTTTATTTTTAACCAAATCCCTAATACGAATTTATTGCCTGGTCATGTGACCCCTTTTCATCAAAGATGGCCACCACCAAAATAATCTATTTGAGAGTCTAAATTAGTTGGGCTCTGGTTAGTTGAGAAGTAAGTTATTATCCAATATCCATACACCCACTTAGATTTTATAAAAGAACCAAGATTGGGTAAATATCTTAGGAAACCCAGGGTATGTACATACAATAATCAAGTGAAAGTAAATAGAGTAAGTTGTCTAACTGAAAAGGTCAAATGTATTTTGATAAGTTACAAAAAATTTAAAAACCAGCCAGGTATGGTGGTGCACACCTGTAGTCCCAGCTACTCAGTAGGCTGAGGCTGGAGGATCACTTCAGCCCAGGAATTTGAGGTTGCAGTGAGCTGTGATCACAGCACTGCACTTCAGACCTTTTTAGTCAAATATATTTTGGACTACTTAAATTCCAAATTGTCAAAACTTCAGGGTCTTTGCACTTGCTAATCCCCCAGTTAAAATGTCCTTCCCCCAAATATCCAGATGGTTCACTCACCAAACTCCTTGAGGTCTTTGTTAACCATCATCTCAGTGAGGCCTTCCCTGACCATTCTATCTAAAACTGCAGGCCGGGCGCAGTGGCTCACGCCTGTAATCCTAGCACTCTGGGAGGCCGAGGCGGGTGGATCGCTCAAGGTCAGGAGTTTGAGACCAGCCTGAGCAAGAGCGAGACCCCATCTCTACCAAAAAATAGAAAGAAATGATCTGGACAACTAAAAGTATATATAGAGAGAAAAAATTAGCCGGGCATGGTGACGCGTGCCTATAGTCCCAGCTACTTGGGAGGCTGAGGCAGAAGGATCGCTTGAGCCCAGGAGTTTGAGGTTGCTGTGAGCCAGGCTGACGCCACGGCACTCCCCAGGGCAACAAAGCAAGACTCTGTCTCAAAAAAAAAAAAAAAAAACTGTAGTCCACCCCCAGCCTAGCCCCTGTTCTCCCTACTCACTTCTTGCCTTTATTTTTCTCCATAGCACTCATCACCATCTGACTTTATTTATTTGTTTATCATCTCCCTGCTGTAGAAGTAAGCATGGTAACAGGGTTTTTATCTATTGTCCACTCCTGTGTCCCTGGCACCTAGAACAATGCCTGGCACATGGTAGGCATTCAGTAAGTTTCAGATGAATAAATTAAAACAGGGACAGTAGTTAGTGAAACTAAGTATATGTATCTCCCACAACCCAGCAATTCTACTCCTGGGCGTAGATCCCAGAAAACTCTCCCACAGGTCTGTCTATAAAAGGACATGAGCAAGGATATTCGTTGCAGAATTATTTGTGCAATTAGAGAGGTAGGGCAAACCAAGTGCCCATCCCTAGGGCAGTATGGATATCTTCTGGAATACAATTCAGCAGGTAGAATTAACAAATTACGTTTATATAAAGGAACTTGGCTAGATTCTAAAACCACAGTATTTGGTAGGGAAAAAAAATTAGGAAACAATAAAATCTAGAGCACAATGCCATGTGTATTTTTTTTTAAAAAGCACACACCAAGAAAAAGATATAAAGAATACAAAAATAGTATAATTTTTTTAAGACTATCATGGGGCCAGGCACAATGGACCACACCTATAATCCCAACACCTTGGGAGGGTGAGGCAGGAAGATCACTTGCTTAAGGCCAGGAGTTCAAAACCAGCCTGGGCAACACAGCAAGGCCCCATCTTTACAAAAAATTTAAAACTCAGCCAGGCATGGTGGTGCACACCTGTAGTCCCAGCTACTCGGTAGGCTGAGACTGGAGGATCACTTTAGCCCAGGAATTTGAGGTTGCTGTGAGCTGTGATCACAGCATTGCACTTTAGCCTGGGCAACAGTGTGAGATCTTATCTCTTAAAAAAAAAACACAAACTATTAGGGGGAAGATTTTGTGATCTTAAAAGGACTAAAGACAGGGAATCATGCTGCATCATTTCCACCTCTCAAGCAAGGCCTGACCACAGGCCCAGCCCTTAGGCCTGTCATTGCCTCTTGAGCACAGAACCGCTTCTCCTTCTCTGTGTGTCCCTGCCAAAATGGGGGAGCAATTTGGGAGATGGCAGTGGTGACTCAGGGAACTGCAGAGTCTCTTGAGGATGATCGGGCACAAAAGCTTACCAATCACTGGACTGAAAAACCTCATCAAAGTTGGCCTCATCTCTGGCGGCAAATATAAAGTCTAATTTCAATCAAAATATCAAAACATGATTTCAGGTAGGTGAAAAAGGAAACGGCTAGAAAATATACTTTCAGTTGCCATGGATGGGGGAAAATCTAATACGTTCCCTTTGAAGTTATTTGGCCCTCGTCTTGTGCAAATCAAAACATACTGTCATTAATATTTTCCTTTTAAGAACATATTATCCCGAGAATAATACATTAAATGATTTATTGTAACTTTAAAATAGAGAAAAGCAAATGTTACATTTTTATGGCTAAGATTCATTTCTTTAGACATATATGTAATATACATATATGTGTGTATACACATACACAGGTGTGTGTGTTGTGTTCCTTGGAGCTCCTCACTCAACAACAAGTAAGAGGGGACAGTCGCTATGCAGAAAGCCAAAGCCACTGGCCAAGTGGTTTGAGGAGAGGACCAATAAATAGGTGATGCTTAGAACCAATGTAATCTGCAGTGGTCCTTTGATCTTTCTCCCCTTTTGTTTACTCATTACCTGTGGCCCCTGCTTTGCATATACCCAAAAGTGATTATTCCCACAGCCTCTGACCTCTCCTTCAGTGAAAACCCAAAGACATGTTTTATAAGTCCCTATTTATGGGGACAAACTAAAATGTAATGCAAATGTAAAAAAAATCCATAATCATCCTATTATGAAATGCATGTGTTTTAAATCACAAGGTAATCAAGTTACCATCAAACTTGGCATTTAAATAACTCCCCGAAAGACACAATGGAAAATAAAGTACATTGGTGTATACCATTGAAGATAATCCAGCAAAGGTGCTCCTGTGGCAGAGCCACCTGCATGATGAGCCTTAAGGAGGACAAGATATGCAGACACTGGATCACAGATTCTTTATTCTGCAAGTTTACGTCACTGTCACAGACCAGCTGGTAGTTGCACATACTTTCGACACTTAAAGCATGAAACTGAAACACGTGGGAAAATATAAATAGGAATATAAATAAGGTTTATGCAATTTAGGAAAGCATTTCTCAAAATGTAAAAAACTAAAATAGAAACAATTATGCTCAATTCAATAGATTGGTATAGAAAGAAAAATGATAACATAGGTTTCTTTGAAACATCCACTTAGTTAACATAGGCTTTCCTTAGTCAAAAGAAATTCAAAAGCAAAAACGTACAAAAATCCTATTACCAAAAATACAGAACTGAATCTATTTTTGTAAGCTCACCTAGTGGCATTTTAATCTAGTTACTAATTCAGATGTAATTATTGCCATTTACACAATTCATTCAGCAAATGTTTATTGAGCCCCTCTATTTGCCATGGTCTGCTGGGCAAGAGGGACGCTTGGATGAGGAAGAAGTGGCCCTTGCTCTTTGTGGAGAGAAAAGAGTTCCGGGCATATGCAGCATTAGCAATGCTTAAAGTAGATTTTGTGGTCACTGAATTGAATGTCTTTTGTAAGTTTAGATAAGAAAGTTTAAGATAAACAAATGACGCTATAGGGTTGCCAAGGGGCAGAACATGGAGAGCGTTACATGTTATTCTATGGAATTGGGACTTTAGCCAAAAGACAAAGTCAAAGGGCAGTGGAATAAAATGATTGATTTACACTTTAGAAATTAATTCTGGCAAAGTGTAGAAAATAAAAAGCAGAGAGTGGAGGTCAAAATTTACAAACAGGGAGGCTAGGAGAGGCCTTTTCCTCAACAGGGCGCCAGCCTACATTGCCCAGTATTCTCATTCATGCACTCATTATGGTACAATCAAATTGAACTGTCCAGTGGTCCCCCAAACATGACTGCTTATTAACCACATACTGTTTCCAAGGCCTTGAATAGTCATCAAGTTTGAAATAACACAGATTTGGAGTTAGACTTACCAGGGTTCAAACATCTGCCCTGCCCATTGCTTTAAATGGACTGGTTTCTTAATCTGTAATAAACCCCAATTTCCTAATCGGTAAAAGAGGCACCTCTTAGGACTCGAATGAGGCCGCGAGATGATAATTCATGTAATGCATTTAGAAGAGTACCTAGCACATAGTACTGCTCAACCAGTAAATCACTGGTAGCAATTGACATAATAATACTGGTAGAGTTGCAATAAAGTATAAAATTTTTATATCAACAGATCCATGTTGAATCTCACAAGCCATTTTTTTTACACTGTGTGATCAGCTTTATTTTTCTCTTCTGTAAAATAGGGATAATAATAGTGTCTCACTCATAAAGTTATTGTAAGGATGAACTATGTCTCCCAAAGCACTTTGTAAACTAAAAGCACTCCACAAATATTAGTTATTACAATAATAACAGTCTGCTAGATGAATGAATGATTATAGTGAGCCAGTCTCCAAAGCAGCTTTACAAAGCTTGTAAGTTCACTTTCTTACCTAGCACTATTTATTAAGCAACTTACAGCACATGGCTGGATGCTATGTGCAAATGAAAGACATTTAGAAGTAGTCACATAAAGGATATATTGCATAGCTAATCATAAATCTTTCATCTTACTGTAAGTTCAGCAGTTTTATCTCTGAAGCCTTTTGGGAAAAAGACAGTTTTGAATTTATTCACATCTGCTTTATTATCATCAAAATTGGTACTGAACTGCTGAAGGTATCTTCCATAGCACTGTAAAAGGGCCAGTTTGTATTCCTGAAATAAAAAGAAAACTTGATTAAAGACTTGATTAAAGTTTCAAAATATCATTTTGCTGATCATTAAGATTAATATTCATATTATTCTTAATAGTATTAATGTTGTTTATTACAATTACCACTGTTACCACCACCACCATTTTCCAAACACATAGTGTGTGCAGACACTGAGCTACACAATTTTGTGCATTATTTCATTTAATTCTTCTCACAAGCCTATTGTGAGATGGGACCATCACGATCACAAAGAGGAGAATATTCAGTATGGCACTGTGTGTGGTAATACCGACATGTACTTAAAATTCAAGCCCCAAAATTCGCCATCACCAGATCATGGTAACCAACATGCTCAGTCTGAGAAGGAGATGAGTAGTCTTGCTTCTCTGATAGCTCCTAGGCTCAAAAAAGAGAGAGAGAGAGAGAGAACAAAAGAGGAGGAAAAATGCAGAATGAGGTGAGTAATCTGGCTGTCTCTCTTTCGTCTGTCAACAGTCTCTGAAGCTGCAACAGGACAAATTTTAAAGTCTGAGCCATGGGATTCTTATTAATGTAAATTCATGCTTAAGTTCCCATTACAGAGTCAGAAGCCTCATTTCTGTAACCCACAGCGCACAGTTGACCAGGAGCCTTTTGGCGCAGGGCATGTGAGCAGTGCTCTGAATAGAAGTCAGTTGCAACCCTTCCTCAGCTTCCTCTCCTGCAACTGTGTCTCCTGGAAAAGCAGCTGCCCTGGGTGTGAACTGCCTGTCCAGTTACCTAGCCCTGGGGTGGCATTCACAAACACTGGTTTGTTTACATTTCTACCGACTTGTTTGTTATTTGCTCACTAATTAATCCTTGGTCTTTCCCATTCTAACTTGATTTATATAATATATTCAAATCCAGGTTCAAAACAAGAGTATTCCATAAGATGGTCTTTACTATAACTAAAATAAAAATAGAGTCTAGAAACCAAAGTAACAACTTAAGTTCGTTTTCAGGATTATAAATACCTTCAGTGGCCATTAGTGAAAAGTAGATAAAATTTTTTCTTTGGTCCTTTAATAAAGTTTTAAAATATCCTCTCTAGGCCTTTCTATCAGAAACATTCTGAATCCTTAGCTACTACCCATCATTAACTTGCTTTATCAGATTCTAACATGCACCTTCCTCCTCCCTCCACCAATATCCACTCCACCCATATGGCTACTCCTCAAGCAAGCCCAAACTGTGCTTTGTATTTCCAGCTTCTTATACTGAGAATTCTAGGATGGAGGCGGGGGCTCTCTTCTAATTCTTGTCAAAACTGTTATTCCACTTCTTATGAATAAAACTTACAAGGTAGATCTCACCCGACTTTTTGTCTGTAGTTTTCAAAACCTGTATTTTCAAGTTTCTAAGAATGATGGCCCATTTATGTGGGGGCTAAGCTAATTCTCCAGTTTCAGCAGAGGAAAATAGATCTTAGTTCTTCATTATGAAATTTCCTCCACATCTTACCACCTATTTGGTAAATCTGCCTCCCAGACCAAAAGAATTAAAGTCCAGAAAATAGAAATGGAAACGAAAGATGAAGCTGAGAAACTGAGGATTGAGAAAATACTGAATATTGCCCATGTCTGGCCAAAAATCCTTTTGTCCAACATTCATATAACCTGGACCTATAATAATTTGGACCTCCGCCAGAGCTTAAGGGGAAAATTTACACGATCATTAACTGAAAACCCAGTCACGATGTGGTCTTATCAAGCCAAGTCCATGAGTCGCAGTGTTTTTAAGACCTGGATATTCATATGGAACTAAAAATAGGGCAGAAACTCAGTTTGGAATACAATACTGAGCAAGAAACAGGGTATGTAGCGAATGACTGCTATAATTACATATTGCAAACCATTAAGAAGGAGTTGAAAGTCATTAAAACAGGGCACTGGGAACCAGGTAACAGAGCTGCAAGGCCAGGAGCCATGAGGGTTGTTGGCTGGGCAAGGCCAGCCATGTGGAAAACAACAGGAAATGGTTTCTGGGCTCCTTTGTATAAGGTGGGAACATGATGACTCAGCATTTCCTGTTGCGCACCTACCACACCCTGTGTTAACCCCGGCCTGTGCTCCTGCCCATCCCCAGCCAACTGCCTGTCCTTTTGGGAATCTCTCACCTCTGGAGACTCTCAACTACAAAATTAAGAAGCAAACCCTTTTTTGGTTACTGTACCTCATTAAAATTGTTATGTATTCATTAATTTTTTTCTAAGAAAAAAATCAAAACATGTAAAATAGGAATGGTATCAAAATAAATACTGTTAGAATAATAATAATAATTAGCCAAATGAGTTTTATTTTGTCTCTCTTTGCTGCAGGGGCACTTACTTTCATTTGACAAAGGCTATCTCCAACCTTCAAGAGCTTTTCATTGTAATAGTCAGCTGGCAGCCTGGGGGCATATTTAGTCCAGATATTAAACAGAGAGGTGGCACTGTAAAAATCATAAAATAAAATGACATCTTTAAAGTTGGCAAGAAACCTCAATTAATTAGCAAGCAACCTTTTAAAACTTACCTTGTGCTAAGCCTTTCCCATGTGCCTTATCGTTAATATCTAACTGTTAATAATAAATGTAATTATAGTTAAAATCATTGCTTCCTGTGTGCCAAGCCCTTTACATGCATTAGTTTAGATACACTTTATTTTTTAGAGAAGTTTTAAGTTCACAACCAAATGGAGCAGAAGGTACAGAAATTCCCCATCTAAACCCCCTGCCCCACACATGCAATGGCCTCCCCCATTATCACCATGGCCACCAGAGTGGCACATGTGTTACAAATGATGAACCTACATTGACACATCATTCTCGCCCAAAGCCCATACTACACATTAGGGTTCACTCTTGGTGGTGTACATTCTATGGGTTTGGACAAATGTATAATGACGTGTACCCACCATTAAAATATAGAGTAGTTTCGCAACCCTAAAAATCCTCAGTGCTCCGCCTATGCATCCCTTTCTATTCATCCCTTAATGCCTGGAAACCACTGATCTTTTTACTGTCTCCATAGTTTTGCCTTCTCCAGAATGTCATATATAGAGTTGGAATCACATAGTATATACCCTTTTTAGATTGGCTTCTTTCACTTCTTTCACTTAATATCTAAGTTTCCTCCATGTCTTTAGTAAGAATATGTCTTTCAAAGCAACTATACTATTTTGCATTCCCACCACTAATGAATGAGAGTTCCTGATGCTCCACATCCTTGCCAGCATTTGGTGTTGATCAGTGTTCTGGATTTTGGTCTTTCTAACAGGTATGTAGGGTATCTCATTGTTTTAATTTGCATTTCCCTGATGACATACGATATGGGACATCTTTTCATACGTTTATTTGCCATCCATTGCTTTTGCTCCTTGGTCAAAGATCAGTTGACTATATTTATATGAGTCTATTTCTAGACTATATTATGCATACGGTTCCATTGATCTAGTTGTCTATTCTTTCAACAATATGACACTATCTTGAATATTGTAACTTTATAGTGTTAAATTAAGTTTAGCCTAAAGCTGCCTCCTTACATATTTTAAGTTTGGCCTAAAGGTTTCTCTGTACATAGTTACCTGTAACATAAATGGATGTGTAAACAGGCTGCAACCTACTCTTACACCAATCATTGAGTTTCAGCCAAGCAAAGGTGGTCAACTGTTCAAACTGTGTTCAAATAAGGCAAATGATGATCTGTAACCAATCCCACTGTTTCTGTCCTCACTTCCATTTTCTATATGTCACTTTCCTTTTTCTGTCTATAAATTTTCTTCAACCATATGGCAGCACCAGAATCTGAACCTATTCTGGTTCAGCAGCTGCCCAATTCATAAATCGTTCTTTGATCAAACTCTGTTAAATTATATTTGTCTAAGGTTTTTGTTTTAATAAGTCTTGAAATCGGGTAGTGTCAGTCCTTCAACTTTGCTGTTCTCCTTCAATATTGTGTTGGCTATTCTGGGTCTTTTTGCATACATGCATTTTTTTTTTCATTTCATTTTCACACCCTCAAGATGCGTGATATCAATATTCCAAATATACAGTTGAGAGTCTGAGGCTCAGTGCATCTATGTGCTTAACTACGGTACCACTGTGCTTTCCAGGCCTCTGGAGTATGAGCTCCCTGAAGGTAAAGACATTCAAATTCAACTATATTATCCATTGCCCAGCCCCAGAGTAGTGAATACCTAGTACATGTAGGTACTCAATAAATATTTGTTGAAAGAATGAATGAATGAATAATTAGGAAAAAATCATTCCTTGTTTTTATTTTATGCTTTTCTTTTTTTTTTTTTTTTTTTTTTTGAGACAGTCTCACTCTGTTACCCCAGTGAGTCCCATGGCAACAGCCTAGCTCACAGCAACCTCAAACTCCCGGGCTCAAGCAATTGTCCTGCCTCAGCCTCCTGAGTAGTTGGAACTACAGGCAGGAGCCACCACGCTTGGCTAATTTTTTCTGTTTTTAGTAGAGGCAGGGTCTCGCTCTTGCTCAGGCTGGTCTCGAACTCCTGACTTCAAGTGATCTTCCCGCCTTGGCCTCCCAGAGTGCTAGGATTATAGGCATGAGCCACCGCACCTGGCCTATATTTTATACTTTTCTATGAGGGGCTCAAGGGCTCAAATATCTAGTCAATCCATTTAAGGTTATGCTTCCTTCCACCAAGTAAAACAAAAACAAAGCATACAATATTTTCAAAATGGTTTCTAATCAGAGTTTCAAAGGGTAGCAGATCATTGTTTATTTTATTCATTCAATTAGTTAACATTTACTCCTTCCCTGTCTTCTGGAAATTATAAATGTCTCTAGGAAAACTCCAAATTTCACCTGAAAGTTGTCCAATCTTATCTCATAAATTTCTAAATAATGACAGTATTATGGACTGAATGCTTGCCCCCCACCCCAAATTCATACGTTGAAGCTCCAATCCCCAGTGTGGTTGTATTAGGAGGCAGAGCCTCTAAGGAAGCCATGATGTTAAATGAGGTAGGGCCCTGGTCTGCTGGGATTAGTGCCCTTACGAGAAGAGACACCAGAGAGCTTGCTCTCTCTGTCCATGCTCACTAAGAGGAAAGGCTATATGAGGAAAAAACAGGCTTCCACAAGCCAGGAAGAAAAGTCCTCAGCAGAAACCAACCCTGTTGGACCTTAATCTGAGAATTACAGTCCCCAGTACTGTGAGAAAATAAATTTCTGTTGTTTAAGCCACCCAGGCTATGATATTTTGTTATGGCATCCTGAGCTGACTAACACAGGATCTAAACTTAAGGACTGAAGATGAGTCTAATACTTATGAGGTACATGTTAGAATAATAATGAAACAACCTCAACAGAAATATGTCAATTAATCCATTTGGGTAATTATATGATATTGACTGAATCATTGATTGAGTCAGGGGGATAAAGCATTACTGCCTTCATGGACTGATTAATAATATTTTGGGGTAGGAAAATATATACAGGTATCAAATAATAAGTAGCAACACCAAATAAATGTGGCAAATATAAACCACCGAAGTTTAAAAAGGGAGAGGTGTTTTGTTTGGTTGGTTTTTACCTTTTCCACTTTCATTTGCTGCTTCGTGAAATGCCACGGTATTAGAATAAATATAATGAATTCAAGAAATTCACCAATCTTGCTAGAATTCTTCAATTATGTGGATGAAATACTTAATTCTTCTAAACTTTACAGATGAGATAAGGATGACTAGGTTTATTACTCATAAAAGAGAAATACCAGCTTTGTTAAATCAATCAAGGTTACATAATAAGAAAGAAAATTTCTTTTTTTTTTTAGTGAACCCTAAGTTCAGGTTAATGAACTGCTCATTGAAAATAGCTTACATAACAACTAAACAAAAAATATGTAATATGCACTAAGAAGAGATGTGCATCATTTAAGAAGACATGTTAATGTACTTGGGATTGCTGATTGATTATAGTTGCTGCTAGATGTCATGATTTAAATATCATTAATAGCTGATAAATCCCAAATGTCCATCTCCTCTGACTTCCAGATTCAAATGTCCAACTACCTACATAATAGCTCTGCCTAGGTGTTGAATTACATCTCAATATATCTAAAATCGAATTCAATCTCCCTCCCTCCTGCTCTTCCCACATCCTTTCCACTTATCTTTCTCCCTGTGTGACCTATGTTTTGCACAGAAATCCTCATCAATTATTCCCATATCCCTTTCTCATTTTTCTCAAAGCCACTTTTCCTGATCTTCCCTGACCATGTTCCCCTCCGCCTGTTTAAAATTCCAACACTCATCCCATATCCTCCATCCACATTCCCTGTTCTATTTTTATACCTAACATTCATCTTTGTAAAATTACTTGCTTACATATTTGTTTAGTGGCTGTCTGTACTCACAAAAATATATGCTCCATGAGATTAGGGATTTTTACATCTTTTTTTAACTTGACATTTTCCCAGTTCCTAGAATGGTGCCTGATATACAGTAGGTGCTCAATAAATAGCTGTTTAATGAACAATAAATACAAGTTAAAACTATTTCTTCATGTTAAATTCATGAACAAAAATGCAAGTTAAAACTATTCATGGCCAGGCGCGGTGGCTCATACCTGTAATTCTAACACTCTGGGAGGCCAAGGCAGGAGGATAGCTCGAGGTCAGGAGTTCGAGACCAGCCTGAGCAAGAGTGAGACCCTGTCTCTACTAAAAAGTAGAAAGAAATTAGCTGGACGACTAAACATATATAGAAAAAATTAGCCGGGCGTGGTGGCGCATGCTTGTAGTCCCAGCTACTGGGGAGGCTGAGGCAGAAGGATTGCTTAAGCCCAGGAGTTTGAGGTTGCTGTGAGCTAGGCTGACGCATGGCACTCTAGCCTGGGCAGCAGAGCAAGACTCTGTCTCTGAAAAAAAAAAAAAAACTATTCACTATTCTGTTATTATTTGCCACTTGTCTGCATTTGTAACTGTTTAGTTTGCAATGTATTTGAACAGAAAAGAAAGATGCTAACATAAACAGGAAAGAGTGATTTGCAGTTTGCAGTAATAACATGGTGACAGAACCCCCAAAAAGGAAAACAGATGCGCAGAATGAGTCACAAAATTAAGAAAAAGTCGCTGTAATCCTAATAACAATATAAAAGGGAATTAAAGTGCACATGTTCACAGGATGACATACTTCACTGTATCAAGAATTAACTTTTTGAAGAACCTAAGCTACCTCAAAGTTATTCCTTTTTCTCCGTATACAAAATTGCATAAGCACAACATGAAAAGTTATGAAAACCCTGAGTGAGCCAAAAATGTATTAGTGTAGAGTAGCAAGTAGGAGACACTCAGAAACAGAACAAATGGTGCGCTATAAGACATTTCTGTATTGATTTTTATTTTGACCTGAGCTGGAAGCCAAGATATAACACTTCCCAGGAGTGAAGGATTGTAATAGAGACGAACCTCCACTTCTTAAATTTTGTATCTCCGGAGCCCGTCAGCCAGGCCCTGTCCGCAACGCTGACCCAGCTGTGGGACCACCTGCGTCCTGAAGGGCATCTCCTCTGGCCCCTTCTCCGGCCGGCGCCCTCCCCAGAGCCCTGCCTCCGCTTACCAACGCCGGCGGAATTCATACTGCTGTTCCTCCGATGTCGCTAAAGCCTTTTTTTTCTTCATAAAACCTAACAACTCGCGAATCTCTTTCTCGCAAGAGGCCAGAAGTGGGTTTTTAGCGTCCAGAGGCCCATAAAACACGGCGAGGGGCAGCGAATCCTCGGGGCAGGTCCAGAGACGCTGGAAGCTCGGGGAGCTCTCCTTCCACTCCGGGGGCGACTTCGAAACCGCGGTCGAGGTCGAGGTCCGGGCTGGGGTGGGCGGTCGTTCTGTCTGCGATTCGGATGCCGGAGACTCGTTTGATGGAGAACTCGAGGTGGCGCCCTGCGCCGCCATATTGGCACGACCTGGGTCGGCCTGGAGCGTCTGTACACGGGGTTGCCTAGCGACGGTCTCGCGGCAACCAAGCATCCAGCGCGCTTTCCGGGAAACACAGCGGCCCCTGCAGGGCAGAGGAAGAAAGGAGCGAGTCCGGAAAGGAATGATGGTCGTGAGGTTTTTTGCCCCGTGGCCCCCTGACACCGCTGTATGAGACGCGAATAGAGAGAAGGTTCTGAACAGAAAGACAGCGAATATTAGAGCCGAAAATTTACGATCACAAATCCAGACGATACTCTTTTCCCACTTTGGCCGCTTAAGAACAATGATGATGATGATGGTGAGCATTAACGTGTGTCAGGCACTGCTCTAAGCATTTGAAACATATAATGTTATTTTTCTCATTTAATCACCATAACAACTTAAAAACTTAGTATGCTATTAGTACATCCATTTCGCTGTTTAAGAAACCAAAGCTTTCAAGCAACCACAGATCAAAAATTTTCGGGGGAAATAAAACAATACAACAACAAAAAATAAATATAAATTTTACAACAATACAACTATTTACATAGCATTTACATTATATTAGGTATTATTAGTAATCTAGAGATAATTTAAAGTATACTGGGGGGTGTGTTTGGGTTATATGCAAATGTTACACCATTTTATATAAGAGACTTGAGCATACACGAATCTTAGTATCCCTCTAGGGATCCTGGAACCAATCTGCCATGAATAGGGGGAGGACTGAACGTGGAACTGATCCAATCTCTTTCCTCTATTTGTATCTTGAGGTTTGTAACTGTGGGGATTATGTCTGTGCCTCTAACAATTATGATTATATTTATTTATTAGCATTTCAGCTTTATTCTAATTATTGCTATATTCTAAATTAATGTGCATTTTACTCAATCTTAACTATCGGACATTAATACATACTAATGATTTGAAGCGTCGAGTCTCAAAATACTTTTGCATTTTAAACAGGGATTTTAGGAGACTTTACTTCTGATAGGGAAACTATAGGCCTCCAGGGAAATACTTAGAAGCAAGGGAAATTCTTCTTTCCCTGAATATTATGGGCAACAGTGAGAGATGAATTTATTAATTTAAAGTATGAGTTTCTGAATAATTAGAGAACCTGCTTTCCTTATAAATTATGCAGTGCCAAAAATTATCTAAGAGAAGGACCAGAAATATTTGATGGCTTAAAAAAATAGGTTTTTAACACTTGAAGTTGTTACCAGTTCTGTCACACTTAAATAAAGGTAGTGACCCTAACATCCTGTGAACCCGATTTACCATTTAAGATTAAGAGGCTTATTGGACCACAGCCTGATTTCTTTCAGGTCTGACCTAATTTCTTGCAGGCTCTGTGGGCCTGTGCTAATTTGTCAGGCTGGCCTAATATGTCATGTGTACTATACCCTAATATTCTTTGAAAGAAGATGATTTTGCTCACTGAGGCAGGTAATTATGGCCAGAGAACCTTCCTGACAAGCAGGAAGCTGCAACGACACCTCACTCTAGGAGTCCAATCCTCTAATCAGGATGTAGATATCAACCTTTGATTGACAAAGACTTTTATCTTGACTCCAAGTGAGCAATAAAAATTTTAAGACTTTAAAGAATGTAGGCCGAGAGAAACAATTCATCATTGGACATTTATTTAAAAAAATATTAATAGGCTTGTAAAAAAATTAGCTTGGTAAATTTTCTCTCTTCTGATCTTTCCCTTGTTCTCACATAGCAGACTTGTCCACTTCAGATCAAAAGCTGGTGTAATTTGCAATTGAGTGCTATCTATTATATTGATGAAAGTGAAGCAGCGGGGTAAAATTAAATTAAAGTGGTCAGGGAGGAGGAAAGAAAATAAAAATAAAACAAAGTGGTGTTGTTTCTTCTAATCTAGTTGCTCTCACAAATGAGCTTTCTCATAGTGCAGACACATTTCAAAGTCTCTGGTAAAAGAGAATGTGACTAATTAAATTCAAATACTTGAATTATGAAACATTGCATCTTAGTCATTTTCCTCCTCACACACACTAAAGCTAACAATGCTTAACTTGCAGTAGTTTTTGGAAGCTTGTCTGAATATTTAAATGGGTGTTATATTCTGAATCATCATTGTGATAAAATGGAAGTTTCCATTTTGTTCAGTTGAAATTAAATTTGAGGCATTTTTAACATTTTAGAGGTGTTATCTTCCTTGTAATGAGATGCAGCCATTATAATATCTTTTCTATGTCCTTGTCACTTTGCTTTATTCTTTTCACTGTAATGAAAGAACAGAGCTGGGCAACTATTGTGTCTGACAGGGCTAAATAATGTAAATAGCTTCCTTATAAATAATGTAAATTGCTGTTTCCTTATAATTAACATCTTTGCAGGCTACAGGGATCCTTTTTGCCCATTCAAAAGTCTTTTTTTTTAATCTAAAGTTACTGTTAGAGAAAGAATAAATAAGGTTAGTGCTCTTTTTATTCCTAATTTAGTTGTTAACCACTTGAACTGTCCCTAATAGATACATATATAGAGTCTTTAAAAATAAAACTAAAAAGCACAAAATCTCCCCTTCCCATCTCACCACCTAACATTTAGTCATCTTTTTAACTCCTTCATCTATTCATTCTGATAAATGCAACCATTTCTTTAGAGTCCATACAGTGCAAAGATGAAGCCACACATTCCCTACAAGAAGCAGAGGACACATACACAACTAATCGTGATAAAAAAAAAAAAGGCATTCTGTGGAACACTCTGTGATAAAGGTTTCAGGAATGTTATGGGAGTTCCAAGATGAATTTTGGGACTGTAGAGAGAACAGAGGATTCTCAAGAGAATGTGTTTAGCCCAGGACTGTGACTGCCCCTCAGTCACAGAAAGACCCTTGCAACAGGGATTTGCCTTCTTACTCTGGTAACCTAGCACCCAAGCCTGGTGCCTGGCACACAATACGACTCACCAAATCTTTGTTAGCATGAAAGAATGAAAAAAAAAAAAAGATGAAGAACATTTAGAAGGATATCCCTGACCGAGAGAAAAGTCTGAATAAGGTACAAAGCCATAAACACACGCAGGAAGTTTAAATAAACAAGCTGTTTAGTGTGGTGAGCCACAGGCTGCAGCGCATCCAGAGGCAGAAGGGAAAGTGCGATCAAATATAGTGTGTAGGTGGAAGGTGTGCTAACAATTTTTGACTTGTTTCTATATTCAGTAGAAAGCCTGGGTTAGAAAAATAGTATAACGTAGACATCAAATGTCTACATTCTGAGGCCAAAGAGCATGTTTTGAATTCCCAGTTCTTCCAAGTTGCTTAACCTCATTGTGCCTTGCTTTCTTCATCTATAAAATGGGAGTGAAATAATAATACTGTCTACCTCATAGTTTTGTTTTGCTTGTAATTAAATGAGTTAATATATGTAAAACCTCATAAAACAGTGCTTAGCACATAGTAAGTGCTATATAAATGTTTGATAATATAATTATTCAGTTGGGAACCATCAAAAGTTCTTAGGCAGAGAAGGACACAGTATAGTCTGTATTTTATGTATTTTCGAAAGGAATGTACTATGGTAGAATGAAAGAAGGATTAGAGTGAATAAGGTTATATCTGATCTCAGCTGCACAGATCATCATAATGATCACATACAGTCAACAAGACAGAAGTAGCCAAACTAAAACTACAGATAGACACTGAGGCAGAATCAGTAGGAAGCCAAATTCTAACCAATAAAGCTAAGGGAGTCTCAGAGAGTAATATGTAATTTATATAACAATCATGTCATATATAATTATAAAGTAATATAATATGTATTATTATATATAATATGTAAAATTAGTAGAAGAAATTCTAACAGAATATATTTATGGCCTTGAAGTGAAGGCTCTTCTAATAGCTGAAAAAGTAAAAGATAAAAAGGGAAATACTGATCGACTTGAATATATTAAGATAAACTTTTATAGAATGAAAGATACCAGAACAAAAGTGAAAAAACAAGCCACATACTGGGAAAAGACATTTGTAATGTATAACAGACTGTGTAAGCTCTGTATTGATAAATATCAACTGCAGGCTCAGATTGATGGAATGACCAGATAAAGATACTGCTTGGGTAAATTAAACAGGTTTACGTATTATGGGATACCAGCAAAGTCAGTGTTGGCTTGATACACGAGAAAGAGGTCAGCAACATTATTCAGGACATATAAGCTTCTAAAACCTAAAATCCTCACTAGTGGTGCATAGTTGTGGCTGGTAACATCCCTGCATCTTTCACGTCTGTGATGCTTGCACAGATATTTGCAAATCCTTCAGGAGGTATCAATATGATACCAAGGAAGTTCTGTCATTTCCACTTTATTTGCTGTAGAACATTATCAGATCCATGCTTCAAGAAGTCATCTCATTAAGTTGTTGGGAATCCTGAACCATGGATGAGTATTCCTATATTAATGAATTCTACTCTAGTCACCTTTGTATTCTGTCCCCCAGTCTAACATATTCAAGATACACTCCTACACATGTTCCCCTAGTTTCAGCTACTACCTATTAGCCAGATCCTGCAATTCCTTTGGCATGTGGGCTATTTCTTCTCAGAGCAGAGCTTGTAATTTCCTGCTCGGGCTATGCTGAAACCTGACTTTGCTTTTCAGCCAGAAGGCAATGAAGTGTGTTCGGGGCATATCTTGAGGAAAACAAGCCACATCTTGAAAGGCACCTGTTTCAGATTAGGTCTTGTATGTTCCCCTAGGCAAGTAGGGACTATTTTTCTTTAGCAAGTGGTTCGGGGCTATTTCTGCCAGCCTGCAGGGCTTGAGAAATCTAGGTGCTCAAAATTCTTAAGATTGTCTACCTAAATGTCTCCATTTCAGGTCTCTGCACACCCTCCCCTCCAACCCTTTTCTTGGAATTGCTGCTGTGTAATCAGATCCCGGGCCTGGTTTTCAGCACCGTCTACCCTGCAGTTGTCCTGAGCTGTAACAGAGGCACTCTGTCTTTCAGAGCATGCCCT